ATCTTTTACATATGCAATCTTGAAATACCAAAAAAATAGCACATTAATAGTGGTTCCTGTAATTGGCATTGAGACTTCCTGAACGAACAACAGTGCTATTACTAACAAAGATAAAACACTCAACTTTTTTCCAGGTTTAAGGACACATTTGGTCAAAAATAGGTTGGCTTGCATAGTCATCCCAAATGTGTGATTGAGTTATATTTCTATTCTTTTTTCATTTTCAAGGAACTCTAGGTGGCTTACATATTTCTCCCACTTCTCTCAATCTTATCTCTTCACAACAACCCAATGAGGTAGGTTTGGTTGAGAGTCTGTTACTGACCCAAAGTCACCCAGTTAGCTCCATGGCTGAGTGGGGACTAGAACCTAGATCCACTGAGTCCCAGTCCCATACTCTTAAGCACTACACCAAGACTGTCCTAGGAGGACAAAGGCTACATTTAATGTCACCTTGAATGAACTGTAGAGGTAAGCACCTCTGAAACACAGTGCAAACAACACTGTGATTCTTTTACCCCTACTGCAATTTTGGAAGGACCATTTGGAGGGTATCTAAACCTAAATCTGAACCTGAAACTAAAGCACAAGTACCCACAGCTTTTTTTTTGTTTTCCTCACCCCACCCAGTTCTCTCTATGGCTACCACAGCAGCTGCCACTTCCTTTCCTTTCTCCTCCCTTCAAGCCAAAAACAAGCTCATTCCTTCCTCTTAGATGCTTCTGAACTCTAGTAGTACTAAGGCTGAAAAAGTTGACCTTTCTGCAGTATGCACACCTAGCCCCTGCCTCTGCTCCAATCAATACAGAATGAAAGGGGCAGGAATGCACCAGTAGAGGACCGCAGTAGCTCTCACTGAGTACTCTTTACTGCTGGAAGTGCTGAGAAGTGTTTGGTACTACTACTACTAACTAGTGTTTGGTACTAACAGGGGAATATGTGGGAGCACACAGCAGTGATTTGTGACATTTGCTAGAAGGGGAATGGACTCCCACACACCACCATGTATGCTGAGTAAATTTGTTGAGTCCCTCTATTTTCATGCATATACAAAATTCACTTAGAGCATAATCCTATGCATGCTTAAATAGAAAGAAGCCACACTATATACATGCCTAGAATTGCACCTTTAATTAATACATTTCACAATGGCAACTAGTAAACTGGCAGGTATACCTGAAGAATTTTATATTCCTGAAATTGAGGGTGGGGGTAGAATTCCTAAGAGACACTCTGCTCAAGGGTCCTTGGATTTTTTGCTGCCCTATTACAGTTTGCATATATCTTAAGGAACATTTAAAATGTACTACCTATAATTATATATGTTGGAGCAAAGAGTGGTACCATTTTAGATTTAATTGGATTCCAGTGTTATCAGCAAGCTATAACACATTCTCTACTGTTTGAATAAGAATACCTTGCGCATACTAAAACAACATTATCATCTAAATGTACCAGATGTTCTTTCTAAAAAAAACTATATCCAATGTTATTTATGGAACTGTAAACTATATGATAAGCTAAACTTACAAACAACATTGTCCAGAAACAGATCAATTGTGCTTGCAAATAGCAAAGCCGACATTCAGGTGTGGTGCTATATGAAGTCCAGGAACAAACAATACTTACTATAGTCGACTCTCAAGAAAGACTGCTTATACTATAAGACATTGTTAATAGGTTCTATTGTTCTGTAACTTAATTCTGCTAATATGCATAGGAGAGGCTGCACAAGTATGCTCTTAAAGACAACCAACATCATACTCTTTATACACTTCATATGCTTCATAGAATTAATACAGCATTAAGCTGACAGCTACTTTTCTTTTTGCATACTGTTATTGTCTCTTTTAAAATCTACAAATTTACTTCATGTTATATGGCTCTCCTGTGACCCTTCAGAATTTATTTTCAAAGCAAGATAGCTAATCAGCTTGTGGCATTTTGGTTCCAGTACTTCAAATGTTCTAACATATTGAAAATTTCATTTCACTTATGTTTTAAATTAACTTTACTAAAACAAATTTTCAAACCTGAAACCTACAGAAGGAAAAACAGCCTGGTAATTAAGGCTGCATTTAATTTAGTCAACGAATACATGAGCATGATGAAAGATGCCACCTAATGATATAAAACCATACTGCACTTTGTTTTTGTGTAAAACTAGTACCCAAGAGGATTACTTTGACTCCACACTGAATGAAGGGGTAGCAATTATCTCCTTATGCGACTAGAAATCAATGACACTGGAGAGGGTTGTTTTTCTGGTCTCCCTTATGCTCCTTGCCCACTGAACTCAAACTACAGTAATCAGACACGTGGAACATTTAACCTGTTATTCACAGAACACGCAGCAACAAGAGAACTAAATAAGCTCTCATTTCAAAATGTAACTACCTATAACTATATACATTGGAGCAATGAGTGGTGCAACAATGAAAATCTGTAGGCAAAAATCCCAGGTTGGCTTTATATAGAACACTTAATTAGATGAGATGCTTTATTAAATCCACCAAACTAAAATGCTTATAACCTAAAAGCAGCTGTGCAGCATGTGGACTTTAAACAGGAGATACAGTGGTTTGGGCCATGAAGGCAATCAATAAGCATGGCAAACAAGTTAAATGTCATACACAATTTCTACCACCTCATTTTTGGAAGGTCAAAACTGTCTGGCACTCCAGCTGAATCAGTTTTGCCTTGTTTACAAAGACTTTAAGGGCAACATGCTTGACTTCAATTTATTTCACCTTTGTATAGCTAGTTTTTAACCCTGGTTGGAGCTAATAATAGTGTCAGGGCAAGGACCAAAAACACATGCTATAGAAATTTTCCTAAATTCAAGTTTGAAACTGGCCAGTGCCTGGAAATCACCATATGTACGGTGAGTTCCATAATGGAAGACATACAGAATACAAATAAACAACTAGGTGCCTTTCCACTGGGGTTGTCTAAGCTGCCTCAAATCCTGGCTAAGAAGAAACAGTGATTACCTTTAACCATGTTTAGTTTCACATGATATTTTAAAAAAGGCAAAGGCTTGTGGGAATAATTATACACACAAGAAAAGAGGCTGGGGGCCAAGCAGTGTGCAATCCTATGGTGTGCTCCTGTCTAGCTCCAGGGAGACACTGAATGACCTGGGCTTGTCATCATCTTTCAACCTAGCCTAACTTATAGATTGGTGTAGATAGAAGATGGAGGTTAGAAGCAAAGCCATATATGACACTCTAATGATATTTACACTCAATTCTTTAGTAACTAAGGACATAACTGAAACACCAGGAAATCCTGATTCTTCTGTGTTTGGTGCAAGGGAGAATAAGAAATGAGTTTACTCACTTGTGTCTAATGCGCCATAATATACAATACAAAAAAATACAACCCCCCACCCCCACATAACATCAAATTCTGCTTTGTGGCATTTCTAAAGGCTACTCTCCCTTGGGCGGTTGTTATTTACATTCCAGACTTCAGTTCTAGTGTCTAGCAACTCCAATAATATTAAAAATGTGTGCGGATATCTATTTTCTTACACACATGTGCACACTCTCTCTCTCCTCATGAAAATATCAGGTGGAACATTGTGGCAAGATACACAAGATACTGCAGTTAAGGTGTGCAGCAAGGCATAGACACAGCCTGAAACAGGGATAAGGTGTCATGAGTCTTGCTTTAATTCTGCTTCATAAAGAATTAAATATTACATTCAGAACACCTCTGAATGTAATAAACAAAAAATAAACAAAAAAGTGGTTACAGCCAATCTTGTTAAAGATTCACTGAACTATAAAACCCCAGTATATGCAACACAGATGTGCAGCTACCAAGTATAACAATCAGAGAAGCAGCTGGTAAGGCCGAACATAGGCAATAAATGAAAAAGACTAACAGTGCATTTGCTGTGTTTCATTTAACTGTATTGAAAACATCATTGTTTTTCTTTTCTGTCAAATTAATAGCTTTGAAAAGTCTGTTCTTGAGAACTATCAACTCTAGTGTGCCCTTGAGCATGCATGCTTTGGTATTAGACAACTTCTACTGAAAAACAACATGAAGCAAGAAATACTACTACTTAATTCCCCCAGGAAAATTATTGGAATAGATTCTACTCTCACTCTCTCAAGAAAAAGCCCACAGAGGATTTGGAGCATGATGCAGTACACAAACCCAGCTGGGAAAGAATTCTGAGAACTTAACTTGCTAGTTGACAAAGTCTCACATCCATGACTACTCATGAAGAAGATTACTATTCCCTAAGGGAGATAATGTAATGGGAAAATTAGAAATAGAAACAGAAACGTTTTTATCTGTGCAGAAGTGCAAGATTATCCATCCATTCTTTATCTGATCTTTATCCAATTGGGTGGATTCCTTGATTCTGCAATCATTTAGGGCTACTGATTAGTAATTATTATGGCACATATTATCACAGAATTCAGTGCCTATTACCAAACCAGGTTGAAACCCCCATAGAAAATAAAAAGCCCACCTCAACATAAAGCTCAAATCAATTTACCACACTAATCTTCCTATGCAAATGAGCACAGTGAAGGTGTGAACCTTATGTCACACTATTTGTCTTAAAAAATAAGCTTTACTAGAATTGATCTAGCATAAATATATAATTGAATACTGTCTCAAAACTGAGATTCCGGTAAACAATAAACAGTTATAGCACTACGTCCTACTGAACATTTCTATATAGGAATTAAGGTAGATGCTCAATCCCTTTTTTAGTTGTGAGCAATAAGTGAGCAATTGCAACTGATACAAGGGGTAAGGTTAAGATACTAAGTGGTGCCAAGATGGTATTTATCAACTACGATAAAACCTTCATTTTATAGTTTCCTCACCAGAACAACAATTCACAATAATTCTGCACAGCTCGTTAAATATCACTACTTGTATAACCCAAACTCTCTTCTCCCAAATTTCCATGTACTTTTGGGAAGATATGGCACCTTGCAAAATATCCAGAAGATAATGTGATTTCTCACCAAGGATAATAAATCCATCTGCTTCTTTTTCTGTCACCAGTACCTTCTTGCTATCTTGGTTTTTCCTTAAGAAGTTGAACATCTCTTTGAAATAAAAAGTCTAGGAACAGAAAGGAAGAAAACAATGTTATATTCAAGTAACAATGTTATATTCAAGTAACAAACCCTATGCAATTCATGCATTATCAAAATAAGCATTGGATAACACTTTAAAGCTGAATAGGCAGCAGACAGGGAATCATGGAAGGGTCAAGAAACAGTGAAACCTAGAGAAAGTTTTTCATTGTAGCATAGTTTCTTCAGATGACAACATTTTGTATACTGAGAATGATTTGTTTCAGCATCTAAAAAGTAACTGAAGCACTAGAATAAGGTATACAAGATACAGGACTCACTCATAAACAATGACAAGGCCAGGGATAACCAAACACACAAGCATAAGAAAACAGGCATACATCCTGCAGTGTAGCAGCCACTTCAGTTTTCTACTCAACAACCTCCAATTGCCCTATTCTCTGACTGCTGAGCAGGACTTATAACTCTTGAGCATTGGTTTGTTTAGGTACTAAACAATTCAGGAGTTAACCCATGTATAGTTAACTGCCAGACTGTTTAACCTCTAAATACATGCTCCATGTTTCCACGTCATATCCAACAAACTACAAACAGTTTGTAGGCTGTTGGAAAAAAAGGCTGTTGGAAAAAAAAGTAGAAGTGGCAAACATGCAGGAATTGCTCACCCCCGATTGCTGTGAGTGAAACAGGTCAATATTACCTTTTCACCATCAAATACTTAAGCCAAATAATCCCCTGATCATGTGAAGAGTATTTCTGCAATCAAGAGAGCAGCTTAAATATAATACAACCTCATGACAAAATGGCTTTTAAAACACAAAGAAATCTAAGTTTGTTGTGAACTGCCCAGAGCGCTTCAGCTACTAGGCAGTATAGAAATTGATGATAAATTATTTTTAGTTCTCTTTGATAAAGATAAGCAGAACTTTAGATTACATTTGATGGATGCTAAGTTATGTGGTAAATACTCTATTTTGTAATAATATCTAGCAGGTTACATTTAGAAAATGCCGTCCATACATGAAATGACTTGTTTTGTCCATCCACCTATTTTAAATGAATTCTGCTTTATCATGACCAGGCCTCTCAAAGGTAGCTAATACCTGCTTCTTCTCTGTACCTTTTACACCAGTTATCTATTTAGTATATAGTCCACTTACAAAGATGGTGTTCCTTAGGCACAATTTTAGTAAAATAAAATAGTCACATTAGGCCCAAATGTATGTTGCGGGGTTGGGGGAGAGATAGCAGAGGACATTTGCTTCAAAATAATAGCAATCTTTTACTCCTTCAATACTTCCACTTTTTCAAAAAGAAAAAAGAATCCATAGAAGAGGTGTTAGATATGTATTTCCCTACTGAGGATACAGCAGACTGAGAATGCAGACAAAGTTATGTTGCTTTGCTCCCCTCAGCAAACCAGAAGAGATCCCCACACTTCAGTTATAACTAAGTCCCCAGACTGAAAAATAAGTTGTTAGAATTTTGGCTGGATAGGCCAGGCAGGAACTAGCTCTCCACTGTCCAAACCCATACAGTTCCTTCACTCTTTCATTGTTGGGGATTGTTTCTTCCGTTAGAAAGGAAGGTAATTCTGCCATACCTCCTTCCTAATAAGCTGACTCCATTATCCACTGCATGCTCTGGGGATACTACTGAAGCTGCTGCTGCGGGGAAAGGCTCTCCCATGTTACCACAACTATTGAAATGCTTTCCAGAAATACTTGTTCCTCCATTCCTTAAGGGACTTTTTCTTCCATTGACAAGAGAGTGAAAGCATTAAATGCAGCTAAGGAAACATGTGTGGCAGGCTTCTGCACATAAATTACTTGCAGACATAAATTGGATATGAATCTAGGAGAGGCTATTGTTCAGGGGTAGAGTCCATGCTTTGCAGGTAGAAGGTTCCAGAAAGGCCTCACACCTCAAGGCAGTGCCAAGCCCAGGATGAGCAGAATGCTGATACAGATCTGCTAACAGAGCTGTGTGATTTGATCAGCAAGGCCTTTTGACTCCCTGTTCAACAATAGCAGCAACAAGATGATTCTCCCTTACACAATGTTTTATAAGGAAACATACAACATTCTTCCTAACTGGGTCACTATCTGCACAGCAATACTTGAGTGGGATCTGCATTTGAAGGCATACCTCCATCCATATTCTGACACATCACAATAAGAATTGGATTGGATGCATCCTTGTGAAAAGAACCTTATGGTTTGAGGAATGGGGTTCAGATCACAGAGATGAAATATGATCTAAAAACATTATTTCACAGCTCACTGCTACCCACAATGATGAGAAACTTAAATCCCAAATCTATTGTTACTAATTCAGTACCACTTCCCAGAGTACAAAATTTCAACATGGTACATGGAAGCTACATACAAATAATTGCATGTAAGTAGCAAATATATGTAAGGGATGCCATAGGCAACTAGGAGTATGAGCTGAGTAGCTCCCAGTTCAAATCCTGACTCAGCCAGGGTAGCTAGTAAGCTTATGACCCAAGCAGAAATACATATATACATGCATATACCATATATCCAGTGTAGGCATAAAAATAATAAACCACACCTCAAGAGAAATAATCATTTGAAGGCTTTTGAACATTCTTAAAAAACTTAAACTCATAATATCACTATTAATAATAATCAGTACCTAACAATAATCATGGCATATAAACAGAAAAATTCAAGCCCAGTTGCACTATATCACATATATACACAAAATAATGAACATGATTCATGATACAAGGTGTTTGACAGTGAAGCTACTATCACTGGTGTTGAGAAGAAGATAAAGTACTTGATTATAGCTTTGTAAAACAACAACAACAAGAGGCCTCCTTGCCCATGGCAAATAAAATTGCTTGCAGCAAACTAGGCAACAGAAATTTACAGAAATTGGTACTTTGAAAGACTATGAATGGTTCAGGTTTCTGGGGCTTGAGTGAAAAACAGTAATACATTTTGAAGACTTTAAGCATTTTGTGAACTTTAAGCAAGTTCCAGATCATGACCAGACACAAAAAAAGCTGACCATAAGTCACTGCACTAAGGCCAAAATGTATATTGTATTAGGGGAAATAAGGATCCTCTAAGTGTAAATGAAAGTCATCAGCTAAAACTGAACCTTCATTTGGCAAGAAACCGCATTGTTTTCTAGAAAAATGGGGCCATAATCACAATTCAAGAGAGCTATACCTGTTGGCCTCAGAATAGGCAAGAAACTCTAACAACTAATAGTATGCTTGGAATGAATTTCTATGTATACATTGTCAGAACTGATAACACACAGGAATCTGTCAATTTTATAACTAGAAAACATCCCCCCCCCCACAGTCACACACTCATTTTTCTTAGTCAAAGAAATAGTTGCTGTAATCAACTGTGTTCACTTCAGATGTTACACAATTCATGCAAGTAGTTAACTCACACAAACAGTTCACTACAGGAGTTAGCCAAGGACACCTTTCCCAGATATCTGGACATTAGGCAAAGGCCAATGGTTGTGGGCTGCTTTTATGATGCTCTCTTTAGGCTGTGAGCAGAGGTAGATTTTGTATATTTCCATAATGTATTTTAGATTGATATTTATTTTCATTTGTATTGATCTTTTTATTCTAAGTAAGATTGCTCTCCTGCTCCATTATATTAATCATGGATTTCTGTGTTATGTGTGCACTTGGCAATGGAAGTCAATAATATACTATTTATAAAAATAATAAATATGCACCAGCTTAGAAAGTACCTCATCCAGCAAATTCCATTAACACACAGTCCACATATGTGATTAAACCACACAAGTAGTGAAATGGTCAAAAGATAGAACAATATAGATGTTACTAGCAGTTACATTTTAGGGTGCAATCATACGCATGTTTACACAAAAAAAGTTCACCATGGCTGGCTAGTAATTGTTGTGAGTTGTAGTATTTTTTCTGCATATGATTGTGCCCTTAGTCAATCTGTTTTTGTCTCAATTGATTAAAAACATTAAGCAAAATGTTAAAAGCTGTATTAATCAGTCAGCAGGTCAATTAACAATCAATCATTTTTAATACAGAAACTGTAGCACCACCTTGGAAGAAAAGTTCCTCTTCTCTGCAAGAGAAAAGGAGGAATGAATGTTCCAACTGCTGAAACTATCATGATGAAAAAGAAACAGCAGACATTCTGTTGTCATACCTACATATATCTACAGGAGCTTCCGTCTCCACACCTATCAACTGTCACTACTAATGCCATTACAGGAATAGGAAGCTATACTCTAACAAAGAATATTCTTCTTAAGGTTGGTTTTCCCCTTCTTTTATGCGATGCAGTATCTGCATGCATACCAGTTGCTGGGAACATGGACAGGAGGGAGCTGTTGCACTCTATCCTGCTTGTCCCATTCTGCTGGTTGGCCACTGTGCCAGCCATTTGAGAGGGATGGTTTAACCTGGTGTCCTGCACTGAGCCGAGGGGGGGGGGTTGAAGCAAATAGCTTTCTGGCCCCTTCCAACTCTCTTGTGATGCTATGATAGGCCTTTGGTCTGATATAGAATGGCTCTTCTGCTTCTATGTTCTTTACACTGCCAGTTTATGAGCAGTCTTACTTCTGATCTTTATAAGCCACTCTAAGAGGGTTATTTTTTTACTGAACATCTGACTAAAAAGGCTTTCAGTGAAATTACAATATAGGCTTCTTGCATACATCATCTAAACGCAAAGGAAATATGCTTTCAATGAAATTTCACATGCAATTCTTTTGCATATGCAAAGTGCGTTAACTAATCAACTCAAACTCAACTAACTATTCTATCTATTCTCATCACCAAGCGGTATTTTCCATGAATTCCCAATTAAAACGTTAACTTAAACACAGAAAGTCTTTCAAACATCATATTAGGCTGTAAGCTTATAATAACCATCCTTCGCTACCCCACCCCACGATCCAGAAGAGTTCTAGCCCTCAGGTTGCGTGCAGGCGAAAGATAAAAAGTCTCAGCAAATTCGAGACTCAGCATTGAGACAGGGCCGCCTACAAGCACTGACACAGAGGACCCTATAAATATGAAGCGCATGCGCAAACTCCAACCCTACAGGCAACTGCTCTAACGGCCTCAATTATCGCACCTCTGCTGTTTGAACGACTGTTCAACATCTACGCGCGTGACACAACCAAGGATCCTATGAGCCTCACTTTCAAATTCCCTTTGTTGCCGTTGTCGCGCCCACCCTTATATTAAGTCTATATCTCCTCTCTGTGCACCCACCTTCTACAGCTGTTTTTCCACAACAACCTCCGCTTCCGGGTTCAGAACCAGCGCATTCTGCCACTTAACGCAAAGTAACCTTAACGGCGCCGAAACACGGCCGAGTCCTTTGCTGTGAGCATGCGCTGGACAACTACGCGCAACCCGGAATGACGTAAAACGGGAAGTGGGAACAGGGTTCATTGTAGTTTGCACGCGTCCCTTGTTACCGTGGTAATGCTGCTTGGGCTTCGCCAAAGGAGCGGAAGTAGAAGTTTCCCGCCAATGTGGGTAGCATAACGTCTATAGAGAAGGAGGAGGAGAGTTGGTTTGTTCTGTCTCTTAACTCCGAAATGGCGGACATATTCGAAGGGCCCCGGGTTCGTGTTGCTGCAAGTCAGCTGGCGCAATATGTTGGAAAATCCGTGTGTTTCGTGGGACGTCTAGAAAAGGTCAGTTGGGGAACACGGGGTGCTAGCCGCTTGGCCCGAGAAGCAAGCCCTCAAACCGTAGGGAAATTGAGAAACTTTTCTCATTCCCGGCAGTGGTGTTTGCTTTAAATAATCTGGACCCTTGTGTTTCGGCAGCAAGTGTGAGGGGCGTAGTGTTAATTGAGTTTAATTGAGATGTATTTGCATCCTTCTCTTTGAACACAGGAAAAGCCCATCATACATCACACCAAAGGTCTTTCAAAGGCAGCAAATGAGCAACTGGGCCGATTCGCATGATCAGCAGGCCACAGTTCTAATTGCATGCAGCTGATTGCGAACTTGATGTAGTTCGTACGACATGAGTACACGAGCTGGAGAAATTAGTTAAGCGAATTGTACTGGCAAGTTCAGCTTGTTACCTACCCTGACAATCACTGGGTATCTAATTTAGTGCACAGCCGTACCTATGTTTAGATAGGTTGGGAGTTATAACTATAGGATTTAATTCTGTTTAAGTATGCATCGGATCATGCATTTGTATTTATATGCTACATCTTTTCAGCTGAAAAGAGAAAGCCAGCTGGAAAATAGAGAAAAGCTCTAAATGAGTCAAACATGGAAAGAGACTAGATAGGCATATCATTTTCTTCTGTTTTCCCTTGTTCTGCTTGGTCTTTAGGTCTTTCTTTTTTCACTTCAGTCATACACTATTGTAGACACATCCATGTTCTCTGATGATCTGCAATTAAATATAATAGCTTCTGTGAACTGTGAGAAATACTTGTAGCTCATTTGTCCTTATTAAAGGCAAGCATGCACATTACTTTGTGATGTGGTTTCATGCCAGCCTCTAGAGCACACAGAAATATCTGTATACCTATTGACTTTTTAGACAAAGAATCGTGACATAAGTTGGATATGTAAATGCAGCTTTCATCCTACAGAGCATGGATAAGTGTGGAATTCTCCATTCTTGACAGCTCTTTCTAAAGCTGATCATTATTTGAATATTATTATAGTTATTGGAAGAACTATTTACACTTTAGCAGTAGAAAGATTTAAGGTGTGTCAGTATTCCTGTGTTTGCTGCTTATGGTGCCAGGATAGACAAGGCTCACTCAAATAGTGGTACTGATTAGAACAAGTACTTCATTAACATGCAATTAATCTTGCTTCTGTGATGGTGAACTTTGGCATCTATCTTACAATGCTTCCATTGTTCATCTAAAATTTCTTTGTGAAGGTGTTAAAGGTTCTGTAGAAATAAACCGCATTGGTATCTCTGTAGATCCATCCATCAGGAAAATTCTTCTTCCTAGCAGATGGAGAGGGAAAAACTGCAACTGTTGAGCTAAACACACCAGTAAGTATACCTATGCTTTGGAAAGTTGTCTTCATATTATTTTTCCTTACCATCTTTTTGGATATTAGGTATCTCTTGATTTTAATTCTTGAGTTAGAAGATACTGAAAAATCTTCAGTTTTTGTGTACCAGCTTATGAGAGAGGATTTCAGGATCTATTTCCAAGCAAAGAAACACTGCAGTCCTAAGTATTGGCACAGTGGCAAGATTGTGCACAAGGGACTGTTCCAGAAGTCAAATATTGCAAGTTGTACCAGAGGCTTCTGCTACTGTACAGTATTCTAATCTTTTAAGGAAAAAATGTCATTGTATTATGTTTTCTCCCATAGTATTTTCTGTGGATTGCTTGTTAGCTATGCCAAATCATAATACAAGTGGTAGTAAAATAGTGCTAATTAGTATAACACTATGCATATGTAACATCTTGCAGTATAATGGAAGCAAGAAATCTCTACCTCAAGCACCATCAAATCTGGGAGATCAGTGGGATCTTTTCCATGCTATAGTGTCCTATAAAAATCTTACATATATAGAACATTTAAAAAAAACATTGTTCAGTGTTAAATGAAACAAGGGGCAGTTGAAGTCTGTGGAACTAATAACTGAAGACTTTGCTTTTTGCTTTGCTTTTCTAGCTTGAAGAAGAGATCTCTGGAGTCATTGAAGTAGTAGGAAGAGTAACAAATCAGCTAAACATAGTCTGTGGATCATATACCCAATTCAGAGAAGATAAAAGTGTGTTTGGTAAGTAAACCCTTTACTTCTGCATTTTAAATTGTGCAGTTTTGATGACTCTCATACTTTTGAATAAGCAACTCTCCTGAAGTCTCCTAGTGTGGAATGCATTAAGAACTATAGTTTCTTTCTGTGGAAATACATTTTGGCATGATTCACACAGAAGGAAATGCACAAACATAGGTCAGAATTCAGGATCCATAGGGATTGTTGATTTTCATAAAGTGCTTGTGCCTCCATGTACAAGCACTTTAGTTACGGAAGCATTTTTGAGGGCAGGATGCATGCATTCACAGCAGTATCTTCACAATCCTATCAGTTTCTCAAACTTACCTGTTCAAAAGAGTGGCTGTCTACATATGTCTGTCCAAACAGGTTCATTCTGTTAGATAGCTGTCATATGCTCCTATCCCCCAGACAGAAGCTAGGGGGCCATAGGATTCTTTAGATTCCCATATGTAAGGTCAGAAACAGGTAGAAGCTGGGAATTGGTGCTTGTATGTCCCTCCTCTCCCCTTCACTGCAACTGCATAAAGAACCATGCTGGCTACTTTTCCAAGCTTGAAAAGGAACATTTTGGGGGAGGGAAGGAGGTTGGGCCTGCCAGGATACAAAGTATAGTGGCTGCACTCCATCTTCCTCTCCTGTCCAGTTGATTTGTAGAGTGGGGAGGTAGAGATTACCTCTTCCCCTTTCCCTGCACTGCAGAGGATCCTTGTAACCATCAAGGGCACTGCTCCTGGGCTGTACCCTCAAAATGTTTAATGGCTCAAGCCTAGTCTCATCTGCTCCATTTTTTGTTGTTATTCTTACTGACAAATAGTGGTTGCAGCTACTCTGGAATTCTGAAAAACTTGTGATCAGATTATTGGCAACTTAATTCCTCTTCAGGATTAGACATATTAGTAAAAGCAATCTCTTGAAATATTTTTATCTGGACTGACTCTAAAATTAGGGGTTTCTGAAGATGAAAAACAGTATTTTAAGGTATCATTTGGGACAATTTATTTTCATCAGTACTAGTACATTACATTATTCCTTCCTTGTCTTTCTTTCAGATCTTGTGATGTATAATGAAGCTCTAAAAGTTATTCATGACTTTCCTGAGTATTACCCTTTTGGTATTAATGCATGACTGACATTCTTCTTGACAACTTCAAAGTGGACAATTCTGTTAAGGAACACATCAGGAAAAATGTTTACAGTCACTTTAGACAGTCTGGTATGCTTATGATCTGGTACAGAAACTTTTGCATTGTGTTATCCTTCCTGTTGGACTTAAGTTATGGTGCAATCTTGATGGAGAAAAATTTGTCCCCGGTGAAAGACAAGATTGCCCAGCCTATTGCCACTCAAGTCACCACCTTTGGGTAAATAAATGGCTTACATTTTTATTTTCGTGTTACGATATCTGCGTGAGAAACATTTAGGAACTGAAAAAAGTTTCTGTGTACAGGAGACACTTTCTGCATTAGAGATGACATGGATCTTTGAGCCTCAAACCCCATCTGAGCATGTCAGATTTCCAAAGAGTAGCAAGTTCTCTCTACTTTCCATATTTAAAGAGTTCATGAGTCACTCTTCTCCATTCACAGAATTGTGGCAAAATGCTTGTATATTAAGTTAGTATATCAGAGAGTGACTACCCATGCCTGTTTTTAATGTGGCAGAGTATACTAATAGTGTAGAAAGTCTGTCATCTTATTTGACTCACAACATTGCCTAAGTTACTATAAGCACAGTGTACACTGTGCTACAGTGATCTGTTGTAAGTTTTTTTCAGACCTTCCAAAATTAAACTTTTTCGATTGGTGTTCTTTGCTCAATTGAGGTAACAAATTATAAGAATGGGGCATAATATTAAAAAGACTGAGCAGAGTCTTTCAATATATAGTGAAGGGCTAAAAATTGTATTAGTAAAGGGAGAAAGTTATTTTAGTTTTCTGGCAGGTTTGTGTCTCTAGAACAGCCTTGCACCATATCTGGTGGGGGTGGGGGTGGGGGTGATGCTTGTCAGTTGCTTGTAAGGCCTCTCACCACATGAAGGAATCATGTTGTGGAGGTACTGTAGTGAAGCGAGAATTAGACAGATACAAGCAGCAGCATCTTACATTGAATTGTTTAAGACGGTGAAGATTTGGCAAAAGAAAGTGCAGCTTGAGCTATGTTAATGTGGGTAACAGGAAGGCAATATTCAATACTATTGAAGTGGAATTGGTTGGGATGTTGCACAGGTATAACTAAATGAAACTTTGCAGGCCTGAAATTGTTTTGAGACCCTATTCCTAAGCCTATAAAACAATCCTAACATTTAAAAAATTGACACGTGTAAGAATTTATTCATTGGCTTCAAGCAGATACACTTCCAATTAAACATTGGTCCTCAGCAATCCATATTTAGTTTTAATACTATTAAGACCATAATTATTCAAATTATGCATCTTACTATGCAATAGTAAGTTTGTCAGGAAGCCATATATATCACTTTAGAAATCTTGCTGCACAATTCCAAATATTGCAGGACTGACCTGGGGAGAAGGCAGTATGAAGTCCTTAAATGGTACAACATGCAGAGAAACGTTAAAACACATAAATCTATTCCTAAGTAACACAAAACTCAAGGGGTCTACTGGGCAGGAACCAGAATGAATAAGATGGCTAACATGAAATGTTGACATAATTAGATTCTTAAGAGCTTTTGTCAAACTGGATCTGGGCAGATAAAACACCTCCAGGAGAGTAAGGATCCGATGTCAGGCAAGGCTTGATTTCCTAACTAATATAGACTAAAGTGACTGTTCTTGGCAAGAATGCAGTTGGTTTGGTCACCTGGCTTGAAATATTAATCTTCCATCTTAGTTTTATTCATGGCTACAGCATTCATTTCGTACACTGGGATTGTTAAAGGCCAAAAAAAGTTGATAAGTGATAGTTGCATCTGTATTTAGCTTTTTTGCCCAATCTTAGGAACTACTGGTTATCAGAATCGTTCGTACAGCACCATTACCCTAAGGGTTTTGAGAGCAAGAAAGGAAAGGTTGTACTATACAGCAGATAACAGCAAGAAAATAGTTGCTCATATTTGATTTTCATTAAGAGTAACGATAAATGGATCAAACCACTTTTCAAGGAGATTTAAACAAAAGCACATCTAAATTAAAATGAGAGCCAGAAAAGAATATCACAGAACTAAGAAACTTTCAGGCATAGGACAGCAAAATGAAGTGGGTGGAATCATTTATTCATCAACATTTGAGTTCCTTGTATGAAATCAAACTAGAGTGATCTTTAAGGTTTCCCAGGAAACATTCTTAAATTACATCAAGAGAAAAAAAAGCTTAAGATTTCAAACCAGATTCACTAACGAGGTATGTTTTATACTAGAAACTACTTGTTAAAAGATGTATCTTCCCTTTTTAATTTAAATTATCTAGACTGCCTCATGCTAAAATCAGAGCACAGCACTATCAGTAGAGCCCTTCCTGGACTGATGCAGCACCAGCCAGCCAACCAATCTATGTAGGAAGGTTGTGGAACAGTGACCTTAAACCGCAAGTCAAGTCAAAATTTATTCTTTAATCCCAAAGGGGGGAGCAGTTGTATTAACCAAAATAAAATAAGTTAAAACCTTTCAGTCTCTAGAAATACACATCTGCTCAAATGTTTGAGAACTGACACTAGAGGTCAGAGCTAATGTCTTTACAGTTGAGTTACTAACCTTCAAGTGCTGGGCTAGATGCTGGATGTTCATACAATGCTTCACAGTGTACAGAATGTACTGACAGAGCAGTTCTACATACTTAAAAGGCATATACATGCAAAACTGCATCATTTGAAGCAGATTAGTACAAGATTAAGATAATAAAATACAGCTCCTTTTATTTTACAAAATATACTGTTTTTAGACACCCAGGTTATACATTAATCATTCCTATTTACATCATAGCCTTTTAATTATGAAAAGCAACTGTTAATCTTTGTCAATCTTACAAAAATACAGTAGCTTTAATATTTTGTACATTTCAATATATAGATCAAACAATAAAAATTCAATTCTGACTGGATGTGGCCTTTGACAAAGTTAATTATAGTAAAAGGTAATGTAACTGCATACACAAAAATAAATATTATTTTTCCCTATACAAATCTTGTCTTTCTAGAAATAACATGCCTTGGATCCACAGTGCCCAGTGTCCAAGTAACTTCCATATGTGCATGCACACACCTGGAGCTAGCCCATTCCTGCCACTCCCTGCTGCAGGCCCTGCACCACATTGTCATTCTGAAATGTTTCATAAGCAGCTTTTCAGGAAGCACAAGGGACTACAATGGGAAAAGAGGCAAGAAAGCCAAGGTGCATGCACTGATTATTGCACACGGTTCTTTGGCTCCAAGCCCCCTATAATTAAAACAAAAATATAAGATTGTCTGTTAGGCAACTGTAATGTATCCCAAAAGTTTTCCTATTTGGGAGAAATCTTGCACTTGAGAGTTTGGTAGAAGCAGCCACTACTATAATGATGGCAGTTGACACCCCATGCTACCTAGATGTTGTAAACAGCTTTTACTGTGTCTGTTTTTCATTGTACGTTTCACGTTTTCTGATGCAAATGAATAACTCGCAGCAAAACTTGGATTATGTAATTCATACTAATATTGTAGGAATACAGGTATGCCTTGTTTTCAGTGATTGCTATTCCAAGTCATTGAGGTGGCATTTGTGTCTCATCCACTAGTTTATAATCAATTTGAAACTTTTAAACCGTAGTTATACTAATTTTGGGTGCTCAGAGTATGTCATTATGAATTTGGAACATTATTTACTTGTACAAACTAAACAAGAGTTCAGCTCACCTGAAGATTGTCTTTGGAGTTTAACAGAATAGCTCTACAATGTGAGCAAACTATAGATGGAAACTTTAATGGGGTTTGATATCTAAACTGGAAAAAGTACATAGAAACATTTGGATGTATTATACAGCACAACTCAGAACACTGTTTTTCCAAGAACAGTTCTCAAAAGTTCATGAAACAATACACAACACTGGTTCCTGTAGCTTGGAAGCCTTAAGATCTGGGCAGTGTAGTACTGCAAGTCTTTGACAGGTGCTTTGCATTTCAGTAAGTTTGTATAAATGTCTTTGAAATAAAATGCTTCACAACTGAATGAACAGTGTCCTCATGACACTCTTGGAGACAATCCAGCAGTACATGGCTATGCAAAACACATCAAAACCATCCACACAGATTCCTGATGTGATAGAATGATTTATTTTTCTATTACAAGCAAGTCACGAGTGACTTGTTCTGAGGTAAACGTTTGAGCTGTGAAGGACACCTATTTAGAGACAGCTCTTGTTCTGAAGGTTCTTACTCAAGCCCTAATGTTTTATAGCTGGACCATCTCTGCTGGGATGAGATTTCCTGTCGTATCCAGCTGCATACATTTACATGAGCATGCAGAAACAGGGCATTCAGTATGATCCCTTGACAAGAAAGGAAAAGTAGCATTAGAAGACTGTATGAAAGTATTCTTTAAAAATGGTCTACATGCTTTTCCCAGAAATAATTCAGTATACTGTACCAAAATGTTGACTTATATTTCATATTCAAATTCCAAGTAGTTTAGAAAAAAGGGCTTAAAAGCAAAACAGAAATTTTAACATGCAGATAAGCATAGTAAGGTTTAAGCAACGTGAAAAGTGAGGGGGATACAAACCTAATTTACCCTTTCAGGGCTGCTCCCACCGATAATCTACTCTACAATCCATCTCTTCTAAACTGAGGCCTAAATAAGACTTCACCAAGTGTAGTATTTTGCAAGCTGCATTTTAAAGATTCTCTGAAGCAATACAAAACAAGCTAGTGTGGTGGAGTGGTGCATCGGGAGAGTTAAGTTCCCACACAGTCATGAAGCTCACTGGTAGAAGACCAGTCCCTGACTCTCTCAGCTTCCTCACAGGCTTGTAAGGATAATTTTAAGAGGAAGATGATTATGTAAGCAGCCTTAGGTTCCTTGCAGGAGGAAAAGTGCAATATAAATGTTAAGGGGAAAGGTACATGTAAGCAACGAAGTGTTATATATAAACATCCTATCCTTTTGATTCTCAGTATCTGACATGGAACTGTCAATTGGCTGCAGTGGAACATTTCCACTACCAACAGAATCTTTTGTAAATACTTTTATATAGAGTGCTAGGCTACAACCAATGTGTTAAAAACACGTAGAAAAAAGGAATAGCTTTGTTTTGAGATAAATATTAAGCAAATCTGAGGAAAATTTAGCTGGTCTCAGGCTCTCTGCATATGTTTGCTTGTGTTTTAAATCACTTGTGTATTAAATGCAATGCTAGATTATAAATTTGAACAGGCTCCCACTGGGTTGAATAGTACCATGAACTGCTGAAGGACTTTTAAGTGTCCAACTTGTAACTCAAGACAGTTCCTAAGGGTGAAATTGTATCAGAAAATGCATGCTGTGAACAATAGCTGATCCTATGTATGGCTGGCTAGGGAATGCCTTCAACTGTCCTCAGCATGTCAGCTGGCATTTACCATAAGAACATGCAACAACACCAGGGATAAAGTGCCTTAATACCAACGTTGCTTGTATGCAAGTCATCCATACAAACTGCCTGAGTTTCTTTAGAGCAGCATGCTTTATAAATTAAGAACCAAAACCAAGATCCAAAGGACCATGCACACTAGTACAGAAACTTGTTTCTTGGAGTTCTGCATTATATGCTTCAACATTAGTATGTAATATAGCATTGAAGTCTGCTGTTCAAGGGAAAAACGACAACAATTCTCCAAGGACTCATGCAAGCTGCTGAGCATTCCTGAAATAGCCCCATGGATTTTGAGAATCATTACACTAACTACATTACACTAACCGTCTCGAGATGCTAGTAGTTGGACGGTATATAAAAGCTTTAAATGAAAAAAAAATAAACGGAATTAAAAAAAATACAGCTGACAAATATGTTCAGTTATTGCACAGTGATTTCAATCCTGAACTGTGATGTCTTGAATAGGTCCTTTTTTCTATAGGGCATTCTTGATTACTATACTATGGATATCACACGTTTTTGTAATTTTTTAAAATGGCTGCATAATGTTTGTAAAAAGCACAAACTGTCAACTTTTTTGCTATAGTTATTAGCAGTCCTTTGAGTTGCTATTAGTCTGGCCCTTGTTAGGGATTTGGTTGCACTTTAGTGCTGTTGTCATATTATTTATGTAGAATTAGTATTTTGGTATTACATGGTGGCCTACAAAGCTAGGTTCTAGATGTGGGCAGCATAGATGTATGGCTTGAATGCATTAAGTTTTGCTTCCTTACCTGAACCAGCTGAGCATGTGTCCAGCATGACCACCATGCCTACAGTTGTGACACCAAGTAAACCAGTTGTTGAACTGGGCTAATTTTTTGTCTTTGCTGAGATCCACCTTTTCATCCAACTTGGATCCTCCTATGCATAAGGAAACTTATTCAGTGCATTTGCTAGCATTGCAATCAGGGCTGTTTAAAATTAGAGATTGAACTGGCTGGGAAAATAGTTCTAACATTAATTCAGGAGGAGAAAAGGCAACCCAGTAGTCAGCCTCTCTGAGTTACGTTTTGCAGGTTAAACGTAATTGGCTAATTTCCACACCAAATAAAAGCTCCTGTATATATATTTTAAAATAAAGAAGTTTGAGTGTTTGTAAATATTTATATTTTAAATAACATGCAAATCATTGATTAGAACTACCTGACAATTGTAGCCATTTCAACAAAATAAGATTTCATGCTTGGCTCCAGACTTCGAGAGAAATTACTAATGGTAATAATACAGCCCCCTTCAAACATACATTTCCTATTCAGAAATTATTTCTTTCTAGAGAAAAAGTGTAAAAAAGATACATTTAGTGATGGGTGCCCATGATACAAGTAACTACAATCAAGGCACTGTATTTGCTAACCATGGGTGGTTTAGAAGAGTATAGAAGCAAGCAAGGAAGCATGCTGGCTCCCAACTACTCATCTCCTACTGGTATGCTAGACAAATCAGGTTTGCCCTATCCCTGGGTTTCTTCTCTGTGACATGCAAACCTGGAACTCTGGGTTACTGAGGAAAAGACAACACTGAATTAGAACCCAAGGGTAGTATCCTACTGTATCATTCCAAAAGTGCAAATGACATTGCATCAGAGGAAGGTTCTGAAATAAAACAGGAGAATCAATTCGTATTGCATGGGCACAGTTGTGCAACCCATCTTGCAAACTTAATGCACAAGCACTTGCACAATAAAAAAGTCCACCCACCCATAGATTCAAAAGGGGCTTCATGTAAAGCTAAAATAAAGCTACATCCCAATCACACAAATGAGGCATAAAGTGTTAAATGCAACTCAGAGCCCATAATTAGTAGTAAAGAGAATGCCATTCAGATTGATAGGTAATGAAAAGCAGTTAAACTTTTTTATCAAAACTAAAATGCTGTGAATTAACTGGGTATATTCAGCAAAGTGGCCGCCATACCTGGACAACTGGACACTGGAGTACCCATATTTATTAGACAAAGTGCACAGCGAGGAAGGGGTTTACGGCAACCAGGACAACTGGTGACTTTCGACTTGGTTGGGGATCCACTTACACCATACTGACTGAAACCTCTGCCCTGGTGTGGTATGCTTGAGCAACTGTAGGAGATGGATTTTCCACAAAAGTTGCAACTTACAAATACCTTGAAAATAGAAAAAAAATACAATCTCTCTTATATTTAAGTAATGCAGTAGTCATGCTTTGATTTATTCACTGGAAAGTTTTGTTTCCTTAAAGGATTAAATCAGTAAGTCTCTGAAGAGCCCTGACAATTGCAATAATTATTGGTCCTGTTCACATTGTTTACTCATCAGTTTAAAAATTCAGCTAGCTTTTTTGAAGGTTCCTGAGCATGAAGTGCAAACCTGGATTACTGGGATGTATATAAGGCTAAACAATCCGTTGGGTTAACCACACAGTTGTTTAATTCTTGAATATCCAAGTGGTACAAGTTCTTAAATCAAGCTCAGCAACCTACAAAGAAACTGATTGTGGGTTGCTGAGTGAATGAAGAGGAGTGTGCATGCTGCACACCCACTTCCCCATTTGTGCATTTCAGCCCATCTGTTTTAAATGAGTTGCTGTTAGGTGCAAACTAAGTCACTGATATATTTAATACCGTAATACAAGTTTCATAAAATAGAGATTTATGTTCAAGGAGCTTGGGGGACTTTGAAAATTTTGATGCAGCTGCTCTCCTGTCTCCTGTAATCATTTAGCACCTGAGGCAATAGCCAAAAAACAACACTACTTGAAAGCAATTATAGGACTTTTAGGCAATCTGATAAATCACTAAGCAGCAGCATACTGAGGCACTGGAGGTTTCTTAACTTTGGGGGTCAGGAAAGCAAAGGCATAATATTGCCCATGGCAGCAGTGTTCATTGAGGCAACACCATCTGCATACAGGACTCTTTAACTATGATTTTATACAAGAGCTACCCACCAGAAAGGGCTTGCAAAACAAGAAAAGGGAGGAAAATAGAAGCATAGCTATGCAGGGAAAGAAAAAACAGTAATCTTCATTTCGATAATTTGATTTGTTGTTGTAAACCACCCGAGATGTCAGTGATAGGATGGTATATAAAAGTTTCAAATGAAAATGAATGAATGAATGAGTACTTTGGTTTTGTTCCAATGCCAATAGAGGGATCTGGGGAGGCTGGAGGGGTCTCGTGGCTTTCTAAAACAGGCAAGTTTTGAAAAGTACCATATGCAGATGTTTTGGGAGGCAGTTCCAAGCATAAGGGACAACAAACAGAAATGCGGCAAGAGACTTTTGGATGGCTGAAGGTAGTGAAATTGGACAAGTGAAGACAGCAGGAAGGCATGAGTGATAATAGTTAAGGAAAGGGAAGGCCATAATACATTTTGAAGTTAAGGGCAAAAGGCCTGTGCAGGATCCACATGCAGACAGGAAACCACTGAGGAGATTTAGGGAAACACCTTATATGGGCAGAACAACAGGACGATTAATAATTTTGGTATTGGAATGTGAGTGGATCAAACAAGGGGAGACCAGCAAAACTGTAGTAGCCAAAGGGAAAATGACCAGGGTATGAAGGAGAGTTTTGAGCAAAATATGTTTTAATAGGTTTTTGTTCTGCTTTCATTTTGAACATAAGGACTTGGAATAACACCAGTCTGTCACTACAGCTAGGACAAACTTTTCCCATTGTGCCACTAAATGACTGCTGCAACAAGTCCAAGTTATATTACTAAGAGGAAATTGCTGCTACTCTTGACTAAAAATCAGTACCATCAAGTATGAATTAGATTGAAAAAGCAACAGGAAAGAAAATGTTCTCTACTGCTGGCCTTAAGTTTATTATGAATGTTAAGTGGCCCACTTAGAGCTGTGACAAGCCCTTCATCCCTGTATATTAACTGATACATGCCAGTTTAGGTGCTTTAGCTACATATCTATAAAATCATAAGAACGTTTACCTGTGCTAAAGGCTTTGAACTGGGATCCAGCTTACTACGATGAATGTCAAATTCTGCTCGTTTATGCCAAAACCTCCACGCATCCAATAGATTCCGGTAGTTTTCAATCCAATATTGAACTCGCTCATCTTTAAGTACATCAGAGGGAGAACCCTAAAAAGGTAGACATATCAGCTAAAAATGTATACACACACGGGCAAAAAGGAAATAGAGCTCTATTTCTGCTCTATTTCATAAAATGTTACAGATAGCATAACATTTAACTCATAACAGAAACCCTGCCACTTTAGCTAAAGGCAAGAATAACAGGAAGCAAGCTAGGATTTTCAATAATAAGGGTTCAGAGTCTGTTATTTTATGATTAATGTGTTAGTTCCCCAAGGTCAAAAAATGGAATGTTTAAAAAAATCAACAAAAATGAAAAAACAAAGCATCTTCCTAAAGAAGATTCCATGTATACAAGATGTCATACAAGAATAATGTATGTCATAAAAGTTAAGAAAATGGTATTTTTGTAGGTGTTGAAATTATTATTATTATTATTATTATTATTATTATTATTATTATTATTATTATAACATTTCTATGCCGCCCCTTGCTGAAACCTCGGGGCGGCTTACAACATGAAATCTGTGATTATTTCAGATACAAACCTGAAGCATGCAGTAGCTTGCTGTCTGAACATCTCCTGTTCTATCAACATAGCTTTCCATTAAGTCCACACCATCCTTTGTGAGTCCTGTCAGTAGAATTCCTTCAAGGTTCCCAACTTCTTTCATTTCATTTGTTAGCTTTTCAATGAATCTATTCAGCTATTGTTAAAAAAGGAGAATAAAAGATCTTTGACTCCTGCCCTAGATTGTCCTGCTCCCCAAAACTGTAAATGTGGAATGTGGAAGGGACTATAAGAGTCCCTTATAGTATCAAGTTCCTGATAGTTTTTATTAATGATCACTGTTCACCAAACAAGTAATAAAAGCTATTCTCATATGTACTCAAATTCAAAAGATTTGCAAGCAGTTATACAACTACAGTCAGTTCCTTGCCAACTTACTGTAAAAGAGGTAGGTTCACAAATGCTTCTAGCCTACAAGCCAACACATAATTTGCAATGTAGCAATAGCCTAAAAGAAAGAACCTCCAACTTTTCTGATTAATATACACTTTCTTGTCTCTATATTAGTTGTCTCGGAGCATCTGTTATAGTTACAAGACTCTACAAAGATTATTCAAATAGTAAAAGTTCAGTTTGTCCTGACCAGAAATTATATGTCCATAAAATTCCTTGGTATGCCAAATATCTATTGCCACCCAAGAGAGCAACAAACATGGAAGAATATATTATTACTTAATCATCCCATTGTGTTTCCTGGAAAGGACCTAAAGCAACCTTCCATCACCTGGTGCCCTTTGGATGCTCTGGACTACAACTCCCAGGTTTCCTGACCTGGCCATGCTGACAGGGATGGATGGGAGTTGGTTCAAAACAACTAGAGTGCACCAGCCTGAAGAAGGGTGATTTAAAGCAGTGGTGGTGAACCTATGGCATGAATGCCACAGCAGGCAAGGAGAGCCCTCTCTGTTGACATGTGAGCCAAGTCACCCCAGCATCGCCCCAGTAGCTGAGCATTGGATAACAGCACACACAAGGGCCATGCGCATGCTCAGAAAGGAGCAGTGGCACCAGGCGATGATGTCACAAGCCGTGGCTCATTAACTGCGACTCATCCAAGCTTTTGCATGGCTGCTCAGTGCACTGCCAAGGATGGATGGATGGATATTTGCTTGGACTGGCTGTGAGTTGTTTTTTTTCTAAACTAAAACCTCAGTTTTCAGGTTTTATTGCAGTGTTGGCACTTTGTGATAAATAAGTGGGTTTTGGGTTGCAGTTTGGGCACTTGGTCTCTAAAAGGTTCGCCATCACTGGTTCAGAGGAAAGCAGGAAAACAGTGGCAGATCAGATAACCTCACCTGGGCATCAGTCAGGAATTTACAAGCAAATGCCACTCTGTCTCGTACAGCTACATTACTTTCATACTGAAAGAATATGAAATACATTAGTGTTAGGCTAAAGCATCATTCAAAAAAAGGTCAAATACTGCAACAGTTCTGTATTTTTGCTCCTTGCAACTTGAGAAAAATAATTTTAAAAATTATTCCAACCAATCCCAAGTCAAAACTCAATAGAGAAGACAATAATAGAAGGGAAAGTTGATGGCAGAAGAAGAGGAAGACCAAACAGGAGATGGATTTATTCCATAAAGGAAGCCATAGCCCTGAATTTATATGAACTGGACAGAGCTGTCAAAAACAGTCTATTTTGGAAGGCATTCCTTCATAATGTTGCTTTAAGTTGGAAACAATTTGACAGCATGTAACAAATATCTTTTCCCAGTTGCTTGCTTTATTGTTGTGTATTTCACCAATTTGGTTTGATTTTTGAGTACCTCACAAATCTGGGGAGTTTCAGAAGCAGTTTAACATGAAGCAAAGGGTAAGGATCAAAAAATAAAGGAAACTTACACAGTCCTACTAAACAAATACAATCTCTTGAGTTTATATAAATAAAATCTTTAATCATATTCTTTAAATACAGAGTTCATTCTGTCCTCCTAAATGCTTAAGTCACTAGACAAGACCAAATTTTTTAAAACACAAACTTCCTGATCAATTCTCAATTCAGTATCTGAAACAATTAACAAAAGAAGCTTACCAAAACTCCATCATAAGAACCTGATTCACTTGTCAGAAAAGCAAACATGGCACATAGGTAAGGGTTGTTTAACTGTAACCTTAGAGTGCTGCACATTTCTCTCCACAATGAGTTCTTCTCATCTGTATAGCCTGATAAAGCCATGGCCACCACATTAAGATTTAGATCACCTGCATAGAAAAAAGAGACATCAAGGTAACCACAATTTGAAGCCATCTACTTCCACTTCTATAAGAAATTCTTAAAATATTGTTAAAATATTTTGTTTCAAATGACATTTGAACCTGTACTCCCAAGCAGAGTTTTCATCTACTGTTACACAGGGGTGTTGCACAAAAGCAATTGTCATGACCTTGAAACAAAACTCACTCTACAAAGTATAAAGTGGTACAAATTCTTCACCTTAAAGGAATGTTTTGCCAAGACAGGCATTCCAATGCTAGGTAAAGTGATGGTATCTACAATGGCTATTTCATACATTGTAGTTTGCTTATGTACAACTTTTAATTTTGCTCTGTAGCTCAGAGTGAACCATCTCAAGAACTGATGTAGCATTAGGGCAATGCATAGGTTGAGGCTTTTTGGTCCCCTGCTCACATTGTCTTCAGCACTAACATTACAGTGGTGCAATAATATCAGTTCTTCCATTCTAGTTACTAACTAAATTGAATGTAGGATCCAGCCAATTCCCGGCTGGATGGGAATTCTGGGAGTTACAATCCAAATGCCTCTGAAGGCTACCAGGCTGGTGAAGGCTGGTTTAAAACAACCTTTATGTGAACAAATAGCACTATTTGCCGGTGGAAGGGCACATTTGGATCAAATTCTTTCTAAAGCCAAACAAAACAATAGCAAAGTCTACTTAATAGATTAGCAGGTAAACAAATGTACTTTACAAAAATGATAGCAAAACAGAACAGGTACCTTTACCAGAAAAAGCTCCTTTGTTCAGTATCTGTATCGCTCGCCGGATGTCTAAGTTGAATAGTGCAACAGCAGCGGCTCGCTCCCAGTCACCTTCTTGTTCCAAAGAATAGAGAAAAGGTTCCACATCTAGATCTGTGCCCTTCTTTATCCATCCACAAAGCTGCAAAGCCAATGATCTCTCCTCACTCAGATACTGAATAATATCTGACTGTCTGTCAGATCCACTTCTACTATGCCTGATGTTCTCTGTTGTTCCTAAAGAGGAATTTAGTTATTGCACAGGTGAGTATACATAAGCAATTGACAACTGTTATTAGGATGAAAACAGGTAGTATCAATGGGATTTTTAAGCTACAAAATATTCTCGTGCCTCTTTTCTGGACACAAGAACAACAGGTTACTTGTTTTTTCAAAAGCCAAGGAAAAACAATTTAAGAAACTAGCTTTGACTACTCAGTAGCCATTCAGAGAGCAATGCCAGTTAAAAATGCACTCTGAAGACAGAAGGTTTTATTTTTGTTATCACGTGCATTCATATTACACGCTTCCTCTAGAAACCTCAAAGAGGTGGATTTGGGGTCATTTGATTTTTCCTGTGGGGACCGATTTGGTCTAGATATTGGCTGGCCAAAATTCTTAAAATAAAAGTGTCACATTTTATTAAATAACAATTCAGTCATAATGTACTCACCCATAGAGGCTTTCACAATAGATTTGATGCCTGCATAAACTAAGGATCCTTTGTTTCCTGTGCATTTCTGATCCATATCCTCCGTGTACTGCTTCATAAGTATTTTGAAGTATAGGAGATATATTAGTAAGATAAGAGGGCGGCAAACTGCACTACTGTTTGGTGGCTTGAGGATTTGGCACTGGACTTAGCTTGGCTGAGCTCTTGAAAAAACTTACTGTGGATGGAATCTAAAGAGCAGCTTATTTATTTAAAACATTCATATCCCTTCTTTACCCAGAACAGGTCTCAAGACAGCTTAGTCCCACACAGATTCTAACCCAATGGAATTTATGCAAATAATTTTCCATCTCAAAGGGGATCTATACCTGTATCATAAGCTGTTTACAAAACCTAACCATTGCCAGCAAATAGGTTTCAGTTGAAGGGAAAGTCAGAAATGCTCTTTCATACATTCTAATTATCTTTAAGTTGGTTTTTTTCTTAGTTTGCATGTTCCTATTGTTTATGTACACATATAAATACTCTTGTACTGACTGTCACACCTCTACTGAAGTGAGATGTGAAGCAAATTGAACCGAATAAAATGCATTAAGGAAGATTAGCCTTCAAGCTATTACAACAATTGCATGTTGTATGAATCACACAAGCAATACTATGAGTTTAAATGAAGCAGTCTGCATAATGTCAGAAAAGTCCTGACCCCTTAAAGTGTTGCTCGGTAATGCCATCCTGTGTCCAATCTTATGTTCCTGATATCCACATCTCCTACATTTCATCTATCTTCTCTTCCATTTCAGTGAGCTCTGAGGCTTTCTGAACCCTGACAGAGTTTCCACCCCAGCACCATAATCATCCCTGCTCCCATGAGGGAATTATATCGCTAACTCACGTCCAAATATCCAGCTTCTTTTTGTCACCTTGTGACTTTGGGCCATCTGTACCTACAGTCTTACCTTCACAACTTGAGCAACACTACTCTTGAGCAACAAATACTTCAACCCTTTAATCTGCCACTACAAGCAGTGCAGTTGAAATTTTCTTCCTGCATCCCAAACAGTTTTAAAGGATATAGTGCAGAGTGTACCAAAGTGACTTCAGCTGTGGGTCTTCATTTCCTGCTAGAACATGGTTTCTCCAGACCTGTTCTGTATCAAGTCCATACCTGGATAAAGCCCTGAGGCGCATTTTGGTGGCTATGTCTTTTTCTATGGAACTAGCTTTCCCTTCTTCTGTGCACTCGTACAAGTGTCGTCCACACGCCCACATCAAAGAGGTAACTGGGCTCCAGGCCAGAGAGATCCTTTCAAACACTGTGAAGTCAGACATAGTCCTGTTGGGAGTGACAACTACCATGCGATTTTGGCTGGTGGGATGCCAAGCAAAGGAAGCAATGTAGTGCTCACAGGGTTGCACGCTTCTTTCGATGATTGTAGGTTCAGTTTCGTCTCCTATAGGAGTAGGAGTGTGCTGCATATCATAGAGCTTGATGATATTGCTATCCCTGGTTAAAGTGGCTAGTAATCCAGTTCTTGTTGGGCACCATGCTACTTTTGTTAAAGGTTTTGGTTGTTCTGTTAGAGTTAATACAGGCTTTTCAAACTTTCTAAGGTCCCATATGGCAACCTGACCTTCATAGAAGGAAGCCACACGATCATGGAAGTATGGATCAACAGTCACACCTTGAACAGCCTTGGTATTCACAAACATTTTTTGGCTAGTATTCCTAAGGTCAAAGATAGCCAGGTTGCGGTGCATTCCAGCTAAAAGAAGTTTCTGATCCCTTGGAAGCCAAGAAAGAGAAAGGCAAGCATCATTCTGCCCTAATTCATAAAGTGGTTTTGTCACAACTATTCCTGCCTCAGTATCTCCCGTAGAAAGCCTTACTTTCTCAGTAGCGACTGGAGTTTCTGGAGGGTATTTACTACTGATGTCCCAGATCAGTACTGAAAAATCAGCCCGATGTTTATCCAGGCCAGCAGCAAGCCAGTTACTGTCCAGTGGATTCCATGCCAGGGTGTTACACTGCCGAGCATGCTTTGGAACAAATTCCTTTCCTATCAAATCTTTGCATTTTGAGTTGTGATCTTGGCCAAGGCTAGTAAGGACAACTCGGCCATTGGCCTGCCCAACTGCCAGAAGACATTCAGGATCATATTTAGGATACCAAGCCACACATTTCAGATATGGAGTGTCAGAATTAATGGACAAAAGAGTAGCTGTAGTTTCTTCAGATAAACGCAGTGATCCTGCTTTCAGTTCAGTACTTACAGCAGATTCAATGTGGTAGAGACTGAGTTCTGAGTCACATACAACAAATCTGTCAACATGGTGTGGAGCCCAGAGAATATCAGGTTTAGATCCACTCATGTCTGCTACTGCAAATCGGTACAAATAGTTTAAAATGTTGCTGGAAGACTAGAGTTGTATTCATTCATACACTGTTTAAAAGAAGAAGAAATGCAAAAGATTATGTTATGACAAGATCTTCAACAACCTGCCTGTTCCAAATTAGACTCTCTAAATATTATTCACATTGATCCTACCCTAGCTCCTTCAGGGGCACTTCTAGAAAATTAATCCAGTATTTTCTTTGTCATAATTTACCCATGCAGATAGAGCTTTCTATAGTTTCTCCCTGGTGCTAGGCAAAGGATATCCTCTTTACAAGTGGGAAAATGAAGCATTTAAAATTCCTAAGGTTCTTTTAGCCTGTTTCCATTTTTACTGAATTAAATTATATATACCTACATACATACTTTGTTTTATAATGGCTCTGACAAAGCCATTCTATAGTTAAAACCCTACAATATCACAAAAATTACATTACAGAAGCAGATATATGGTATAAATGTTTAGACTGATATCCTAATGCAACCTAATCAATCATCTAGTTAGTGCTGCCTAGCTATTAAGCAATTTTGTTCATACTGGAGTTGTTGAATTGGAATATTACCACTTTCTAGATGCCCATGGTACTCTGCTAAAATGGGCAGAGTGTGAATCTTTCATTTGAAAAAAGTTAAACACCATAGATTTCTGGAGTGTCAATTGTCCTGTTCGACATTATAGTTCCACAGAATATCTTCAAAAAATCATGCTGCCATAAACTACTTTCAATAATTGCCGTACATGTGGGATGTATCTTAAAAAAATAAATGTAACAAAGACCTATCAACATGGCCACCTCCAGAATGTGGTGTGTTCAGGCTTTTGCCAGGACTGCAAGACTGGCAAAAGAGCCAACACTCCAAACAAGGTACAATGCTCATAAGAGCCTATGGGATAAAAAAAACCCTTCCATCTAATCTAAGATGCTACTTCTATCTGTTTTGGGTTATGGCCAAATAGATGTTTCCAGGATCCCACAAGCATGCTTGAAGACAGAAACCACCCCCTGCTTTCAATTCTTCGCAAGTAAAGAAAAACTGGTAATTCCAGAACCAGACCTGTCCATGAATTTGCCTGCACAGCTTGTGGTAGTATTACTGCATTTGCTGTGCCTTTGTACAGAGCACTACAAAAAAAGCCAGAGCCAGAACTTTCTCCAGTTGCATGCCTCATCTCTGCGAGAGTAAAGTCAAACAACACATTATTTTAAGCACAAGATCTTAAAGTCTGCTTAACACTGCCATGTTTATTTTGAAGGAAGAAGGCAGGCAGGCAAACAGACAGGCAGTTGTTGGAGGCTGGAAGGGGTGACCAAACAGTAAGAAGTCAATTCCAATTTCTTCTTCCCTCCTCTGTACTGCAGCTGAGGCTGATAAAAAATAGGGGGACCATGTCAGCCACAAAGATCCCTGGAAATCCCCACTGAGTCCTGCTGCTTCCAAAAGTCTTTGGATTTATCCAAAGACAAGACAGCAGCAGTTCCAAGGTCTTTTTGCTCAACTTCTCTGGCCAACATAGCAGGAATGATAGGTGCATGCTGCTGTCTTAGAAAGTGCTCACTTGCTCACCTTCCCTTGCTGATATACAGCATGGCTAAGAAACAATTCTGGCTACTAGGGAACAGCATTCTAGCAGAGGACAAGGATACAGCAGATAAGACCAAAGCAAAGCAGGTGTGACTGGATGTAATTTATACCCTCTTGGACACTTGCACACCAAACATGCAAAACACAGCTCAATTGTACGTGTGCTTACTTGGAAGTAAGCCTCAGTGTTATAAGTATGCTATAGAGTAGGTGTACACTGGGACGCTCCAGATGTTTCAGCCTACAACTGCCATAATCTCTGATCCTGCCCATGCTGGAGTTGTAGTCCAAGCCATTTAAAAGGCAGCAGGTTGCCTATCTCTGTCATCGCCTCACCCTTATTGATTTCTTTCTTTGAATGATGCAGTGATGGGAAATGAGCTCAATGTACCAACTCTTTTCTGCCATACTACCGAGCCAGAGACAGAGAGAGCATTAGTTACTCTCTATAGGAGTAGCACAGGGCCAAGCAGAGGGAAAGAACATGCAAAGGAGGCAGTTCTGAGGACGAGCTGTAATTTCTGCCTGCTCGCTTGCCCTCTCTCATGGAGCGATGGGTAGAATGGGCTGAACTTTTTAGGCCCAATCCATTCCCACCTGGGTGAAAAACGATAGCAGACACATTAACTTCCACATCTGCTTGTTGCTGAACAATAACTTGCAGAAAGTCTAACATCCTTCACACATTCAACATGAGTACACCAAGCACATGAGATGCTGGGTGCGGGGGAAGGAAAATAAGAGAAGCAAACACTACTCCTTACTTACAGGGTTTCAGATACAAGATTAGAACAGCTGAACCATGGTGTGGAGCAGCCTTCCCAACCTGGTACCCTGCGGGTGGGTTGGACTGCAGTCCCTAACCTATCCAGAAAGCCCCAATTTGGCGAAGGCAGGTGTAGAGCCTTTATACCAAAGCATAAAACATGCTTCACAGGGACTCATGCGTTCGTCCTTAGCTAACGCCCTGAAGGCTTGGGCGGGCAGAGGCCTGATCTCCACGAGATACTGAGTGTCCCAACAGGGCTTGCAATAGGAAAGCTCGCCAGAATCATACACGTGTGTGAACACGTGCATTTGTACACGAGCTCGCGTGCTCGTTTGTCAAAAGCCAGCACACGCGCGCAGCCCGCGGACGAAGGGGTCCGAAGCACCCGCACGCGAAGACGCCGCCCCGTCCCGCAAAACTTTCGCCAGCAGCCCGGCGCCTGAGTCTTTAAAGGACGAGGCGCTTCTGCTCACGTGGCTCGCGGAAGAGACTCACCCCCCGGGCCCCCCCGCCGCGTGGGTCTCCGGAGCGCGCGGGCGGAGGGGGAGGCACACGGCGGAGGCTCCCGAGCAGCCGCCCCACAGCCTCCCGTTCCGTTCTCAGAGATACTTATTCTTCCGGGTTGAGGGGGAGTGCTTCCTGCGGGGGGGGGGGAGAGCGGAAGCCTCGCCGGCGGGTCGATGCGCTCGCTCGCCTAGGCGTGGGGCAGGCGTGGGGTGGGCGGCGTCTTTCTCCAGCTGCCTATGTCTGCCTTAACCTGAGCAGGGGCTCCTGAGTGTCCCCGAAATCGCATGGCCAGCTAACTACTCGCCAGCCTCTGGCGTTTCCCCTGCCCTGTTGGGGAGATACCGACCACCCTTTACCCCATGCTGGGAAACTAGCCCGCCGGTCAGCCTCCCCCTGAGGAAGGCAAGCGTTGAAAGCGTGGGTCGGGCCAGCTGTCTGTCTGACAGCATATCCGACCCACGCCTTCCAAAGTTCTGTCTTTCTCTTTTGCACTGCTTGTATATCGCAGGTATTTAAATCTGTAGACTCCAAGTGCATCTGTTCAGTGTCACTAATTAGCCCCGTTGTTGCTATTTAATAAAATAATGTATTGACTATAATATTAATGTTTAAATTGATGTGTTATATAGCAGAATTTTTATGTAATTCTAATAGAGCAAGTATTATCATTTTCCTTCCAACTGTTAAGGCAGGAGTGAACAACTTCCATATCTAGAGGGAAGGTTGTGTTCTTTCCCTCCAAGACATTCAAGTAGCATCCTTGCCTTCTACTGCAGAAATTGCCATTACAATTGAGTGCTGCCAATTGAGTGCTGCCAGAGTGATTACAACAAAACAAAAAGCAGTGGTTTTGCTTGAAAAGGTGGTGTGTGGGAAGTGTACAGCTTGTTCACAAGCACCTTTGAAGCATCTGGGATGACAGTTCTGCTTCCAGACAAGGTATAGGTTTCCCATATGCCTTACTTTTTAGTGAAATTGGTGCTTATTTTGCCACTGCTATTGACAGATGGAGAATGGCCAAGGGGGCTGCAGCTTGTTGACTGCATTGAGCAATGTGAGGTCTTCCAGATATTTTGACTGACAACTATCCTTCTTCTTCAACACTGACTACACTACCTGACACTGGGCAATTGTCATGTATCTGAAGAAGCAAAGTCAAGCAACAGACATAAATGAAGAGGTATTGCTAAAACAGGTTCCCCATCTATTCCAGAGAAGTGGGGCTTTTAAAATGCAGTTTTTAAAGGTTTCTGCTTATGCATTCTTTGCGGCATTAAAACGTTTACATTTCACACATTCTCTTATTAGGAGACCTGGTCTCTATCTTTCTCTATGGCAGTCTTCCCCAGCCTTGTGCCTTCCAAAAATATTTGGACTGCAGAACTCCCAGTCAGTGACCCTGCTGGATGGGAATTCTGGGAATTGTGGTCCAAATGTCTCTGAAGGTGACCAAGTTGGGGCAGGCTTTTCTATATACAACTACTAGGTGGCACTGGTTAAGTGGAATTGCACAGATACAGGATCTGCATTCCACAGATGACAGACTTTCCTCTGTCTAAAAAAAAACCTGAACGGTAATTCTTTCTGGGTAAACTTAGACAGGATTGTACTATTATTACGAGCAGGTTAAAAATATAAACCAAGATAAAACTGGAATGCAGTGGAGTGCAAGGATAATCATTACATGCTAGATTCAGATTTAGCCATACATTCAGTAATTCAGAATTGAGGCTGAGCAATTCTACGGGATTTTAGTGATGCCCTGTTTAAGTCAAATTGGTTAGAGTGGGTATGCTCTAAGAATAACTAAATATAGGTCCAACCCTAGTTTGTTATGGTTAGAGTTGTAAAAAACATTTTATAGTCTTTGAATCAAATGATGTGCTATTGAAACCCACAAGGTGGAGCTCAAGTCAACTTCTGTAAAAGATCCAAGAGTTTATATTCCTCCCTCATATTTAGTGTGTTCTAATAGGTTCTAATAAAATAAAAATCTACCAGCAGACAGTTGATCACAAGTTTTAAATCACATCCATTACTCAATGCCTAAAAAAGTCTGCCTAAAAACTGCATATGGAAATATGGTCTGCTGTCTAGTCTGCCACATACCTAATGTCACTTCATTATTATTAATCTAGGATCTACTCCTCTCTGTTTTTCAACAGCACAGGCAATATATTAATCAGCCTTAACCCTCTGTCATTTAACTCCACCTTCCTCAATCCTGTGCCCTCTAGATATGACCCTACAATTCCCATCAACACAGGCTATTGCATATGCTAGCAGAAAGCAATGGGAGCTAACACATTGGAAGCTAAAAGGTTAGGCGAGGTTGATTTGCTACTCTTTAATCACCCAGTTGCACCCACCATCAGGTAACCAAATGTTAAAGAACAATGAATCCTTGATCCTTGTTCCTAGAGCACTCCTAGATTAGAAGACATTGTGCTCACATACAGTGGTGCCTGTTTGCTTAATTCAACTTCTCCAACAATGAATTAAGCCTTCAGGCTGAAAGGTTTTCTGCACCCTTGTTCAACCTGCTGCCCTCCAGACTCTAGATGTATTAGACCACAATTCCTACTATCCCAGTCATGATGGAACTGCAGCCCACGTACATCTAGAAGGTAAGAACTAGGCTACCCAACCAACTGAAAAAGGCTACATAAATTAGACTAGATGGGCTTGTGGTCTGAATCAGTCTAAGGCATCTCTGTATATATGCATATAGTACTATTAGAATGTATTCATATTTATGAATTATATAAAAGTTAAACTCTGCCAATAACACAAAGGGAAATATTAGCAAAAATATATTTCTTTCAGATGTAGTAAAGAAATATTTTACTTAATATGCAGTTAACTTCCTTTGCTGTTTGATGCATGAAGTATGTTATGAATGGTTCATCTGGGACTCAAACGTTGCAATCCTATATATTGTACTTTTGTTGTTACAAGCTGTCAGGTTGTCTTTGTCCTATGAATGAATGCCCTTCAAAATGTCCTGTTCTTGACAGCCCTGTTCAGCTCTTCTAAATTCAATGCTATAGCTTTATTTATAGGATCAATCCATCTCATTGTTGGTCATCTTTGTCTCCTGCCTTCTGCTTTCCCTAGCATTATTGTCTGCTCCAGTGAGTCTTGCCTTCTCATGATTTGTGCACAGTACAACAGCCTCAGTGTTACCATATTTGCCTCCAGGGCAAGTTCTGGCTTGGTTTGATCTAGTCACTTGTTCAACCTTGTATTACTCCAGGGTATTCACAAAGCTGTCCTCCAGCAACAGATGTCCAACACATCAATATTCTTCCTGTCAGCTTTCTTCACTACCCAGCTTTGAAATCCCATTGAACATAATAGAGCTTCTACGTAGACAGGTATAGAATTGCATTTCAGGTATGCCATATCCAACATCCATAGCTTCTTCACAAACCCATTTCCCAAGGTTAATTGGTTGTAGTAAACATTTATATTGCCTAGACATGCCCTGAAATGGCAGTCTGATTCCAGTTTGGGGACCCTAATTTACATAAATACCCCTCCATGGTAGTTCATTTCTGTATGTTAATCATACTTTGTGTACTTTGAAATAACACAAATGTTTTCAGCTATGAATATTAGCCCATGGAAATAACCAGTGGGAAAGGTTGGCACTTCTGAATGAACATGTTGTTTAAACTTATGGATCTATAGTTTTGTTTCTGTATCATATATTTGTGCAGATTTCACACAAAAAGCTGCAAATACAGAACTGACCATTCAGTAGCAATATATTATTTCAATGCAATTTGATTTCATCTAGCATAGCCTTAATGAAATCATAGTAAATACCCAGTAACTGAGAGTTTAAAAGATACTAGAAGACAGCCTGTGTCCTGACTCTTGCCTACTCCCGATTCAGCTTTTGCCTCAGGTCTTGGCATGCCTTTCCTGATATCCTGATGCCCCTCCCCTGCTCCTGACTCTTCTTGTGCCTGTGGTCCTGCTGTGTTTCATTAAGCGTCAGACCATTGCTCAAGCAAGCCTTACCCATCTCCATCCCACTGGCCCTGGCGTTCCAGTCAAAAATACCTGCTGCTTATGTGATAGAGTTGACACTCAAGTGCTAAAAATACACGTGATTGTCCTGAATTGTGCTGATATTATTAATAAAATCTAATCACACTAGGTTGAATATATACTGAATTAATAATGTGTTAGTCCCAGTTAAATCCATAGCACAAGTTTGTAATTGCTTAGTTAAGTTCTGCCTTCAAGTGAATTACAGTGTGACTGACTGTGGAAACAACCCATAGGCCACAGTTCAACATCTAGTCAGGCATGCTCAAGTCAACTGATTTCAAAGAGCTCAGTATGCAACTATGATTTGAATGTATCCTATGCTAGATATAGAGTATGTCCATTGAAATTAATATTGTGAAAAATCCTATTCACTTCAATAACTATACTCCACCCACTCCTTTATGTTGGGCTGGCATTATACAAAACATTCTACAGTGAGCACACATAATTTGGTGAATATTGACAGTCACATGTGAATATTAACAGTGGAGGACACATTCTGTGAATATCTGAAAATTCAAGAGTACAGGTACAAAATAGTGAATTGGGTCACTAATGTTCACTGGCTAGTGTGTATATAGCACGGACACATATTCCACATGCAAAACTCATTTGATATTTCAGTGTCAACATGTACATGTTAACATTCATCACATTTTGGATATTTGCTATGGCATATAAAATATGAAATATATACAATAAGATTTAATTCTCTCCTACAGGAAGTTTTAAATATTTAGCATGGACGGGAGCAAAACCATGGAAAAAATAACACAGACAGCACTACAACTTGATGGTAAGGAAAACAGCAATGAACTAGCTGTTTGTAAAATAAATGATCAAAATAGCTGTTCCTTTAATATGCTCCCACCCAGATTTCTAGACCTGGCTAAATGCCAAATGCCTAACCACTCTGCACTCAATTTGGACTAATAAAGCATGAATAAAAGATCATGTTAAGATCCAGATGTAAGGTACCCTGATTTGCATTGGGACTAAAATTATTTAAGAATTGTTATTCATAAAAAAGAAGGAAGGAAGGAAAGGAAAGGAAAACAACTCCAATAGGAATGCATTTTCTAGTTCATATTTGTTTACAGACCTTTTATTCTCCAGCTTGCTGCTTCATTGCTCTGTAAGGTAAGTTATCAGCAGAATAGAAATCTTAACAAAATACATGCAAATGATACTTGAATCAAAAGTCATCCTACACTTGTCAGGTTGTTAATAAGATTAATAATAAGGTTCAGGACATCTGTATTTTGAAATGATTATCTTAATTGTTCCCAGTTATTGAGTGGAGTTTAGCAATATTACATAAGAAATATTTGAAGCTAATAAATGAAGCACAGTGTTGAAAATTTTCATATAAATAATATATTCAGTGTATTTATCAAATCCACAAGAGATTCTCTACAGCTTGTATGTTCTATTCAGTTTCCTGAATATAAGATTCACTGAAATAAATGGGACTAATTTTTAAGAAGCCATGTATAGGATTTCACAATCACTCTCAGTGCTAAGCATGTTAGAAAGTTACTCATTTTGCAATCTAACAAACTGTCTACATAACAAATTGTAGTAAGATTGTAATTTTTTAAATCATATGCTAGATTATAAATGTTCTGCTACTATAACAGGAAACATGCTACTGGCCTTTAATTATTAAACAGCTTCCCCCTAAAATATAAAATTACAGAAATTAAATGTGGAATGTAACCATTCTTAGTAGTCTGTGTTTTTCAAATGTAGCATTGAAACATAATTGCAAAGGCACCTAAAGTTTTGTAGAAGGGGTGACACAAAGATTTTCTCCACAGAAGTAGAATGGAGAGTTTTTGGCCATCATTTGTATGCCTGCCAACATTAAGCTTAGTGACTGATTTTTAATATAATTGATGATGGGACAGCATCCATAATCTTAGGGCACAATACTATGTGCATTTAAACAGAAAAGGTCATCCAAATCACAGCATGTCCCAGCAGTCATGCCTGGCTGGGACTCATTAATCTTTTTTCTGCCTAAATATGAACAGGATTGCATCCTTGCTGCATGATCATATACCTGTACACTAAGACATAATTCCCACAGAATTCAGTGGACTGTTCTCCCCAGTCAGTGGGCATAGAATTGCAACCTTATTATATATATTGCCTGATGTTACACTATGTAAGCGGGTTTTCAATCTCTTCTTGAGAAGGTGAAGCACTGTATATCAGCAAATATTTTAAAGTTTGATGTATAAATTAAAAGCAAACTTGTTCCTTTACATTCATTCATTTAGAATATTTTTATTTCACCTTTCTATTTGATTTTATTTACCAAAGTCATGTAAATTGTTGCTGTATTTTTTGTTTTTTAACCTGTCTTATCATGTGAACTACCCTGGGGATATTTTGCTATAAGGTGGCATATAAATATTATAAATAACGTTTTATAACCCAAATAATTGTAAAACAATAGTTAAAAACCAAGCAAATGAAACAAGCAATTTTAGAGGACAAATTGATAATACAAACTAAGGATTATTTCAGTGGTAATACATTGTGTGGCATGGTGGAAGAGCCCAGTTCTAGTACCTACCTGGCCATGAAGCTCACCAGGTGACTTTGGGCCAGTCACTGATTCTAAACGTAACCTTTCTCACAGATTGTTGTGAGGATAAAAATGGAGTGGTGGAGAACCTTTTAAGTTGCCCTGGGTTGCAAGATGAAAAAAAGGTGCTATGTAATCATCATTATCATATTATGTAATTCTTCTATTATTGTTGTTGTTACATTTCTATACCACCCATAACTGAAGCTCTCTGGGCAGTTTACAACATGGAGTAGAAATTAAAAAAAAATAGATAAAACAATGAACAAGAATTAAAATTAATTTAAAATAACCTAAACATTAAAATGATAAAAAGGCAATTTAAAAGACAATTAATTAAAAAGATCTGGTCAAGAGTAAAGAGGTACCTGGCTAATTGTGTCAGGCCCCTGAATGACCAAAGAGGTCCTTAAAGTCCTCTGCAAAGAGGGTTTATTTATTTATTTATTTAGAAGGCTTCTATTCCGCCCCATTTGCCGAAGCCTCAGGGCGGCTCACAATAATAAATAAATAAGGACAGTATAAAACAATATAATATGAGTCAACCTGGCCCGAAAAATAAAATAAATAAATAATATTAACAATTAACATAGTGTTTGAATAAAAAGGTCTTCGCCTGGCACCGAAAAACAAATAACGATGGCGCCAGGTGGACCTCTTGTTGTCTTGACCAGGCACCGAAAAGATGGCAAATTTGGTGCTAGGTGGGCCACAGCAGGGAGGTTATTCCAAAGATGGAGGGACACCACCAAAAAGGTCCTCCCCCTCATTGCCACCCTCCAAGCTACCCAAGTGGTTGGCATCCAGAGAAAGACTGCGGATAGTGTCTGGGTAGATTGGGGTTGGGAGAAGGGCTCCAACAGGCATTGCAGTCCAAAGGCATGTAGGCCTTTATACACCTTGAACTGGGACTGGAAGCACACAGGCAGCCAATGCTGCCAGACCAGAACTTGTCTTATGTGTTTGATTCCAATTATTAATGTGGCTGCTGCATTCTGAACCAGCTGAAGTTTCTGAACCATCTTCAAGAGCAGCCCCATGTAGAGGGCATTGCAATAATCTAATCTAGCTATTACAAGTGCATAGATCACTTAAGCCAGGCTATCTCTGTCCAGATGGGGGTGCAGCTGGGCCACCAGCCAAAACTGGTAGAAGGCACTCCGAGCCACTGAAGCCAGGAAATGAACCTGATCCTTGAAGGGGACTGCGACCACATATAGAACAGGTTGATATGCCCAATTTGGTCAAAGGAATCACCCACCAAACAGCATCTCAGTCTTGTCTGGAATGAGTTTCAGTTTTCTAGTCCTCATCCAGTCCATTATTGCAGCCAGACACCGGTTTAGCTGATCCACAGCCACACCTGCCAATGATGAAAAAGAGAAATTGTGTTGTGTGTCATCAGCATACTGATGGTGATGCACTCACGTAGTTGTTAAATAGCATGTGGGATAGAACAGAGCCCTGTGGAATTCCATGATGGAGAATCCATGGGACTGAACAACATTCCCCAAGCACCACTTTCTGGAGAAGGCCCTGCATGTAGGAGTGGAACACTGCAATGCAGTGGCCCCCACCTCTCATTGCAGTCAGCCCCTCCAGAAGGATACCATGGTCAATGGTATTGAAAGCCACCGAAAGATCCAGCAGTATCAACAGGGTCACACTCCTGTCTTGGTCCTGGAAGAGGTCGTCATACAGGGCAACCAAGGCTGTTTCCTTACCAAAACCAGGCCAAACCCTGATTGAATGGATCCAGACAATCAGTTTCATCTAAGGGTGCCTGGAGTTGATTGGCAACCATTCCCTTTAGAATCTTGCCCAGGAAAGAAATATTTGCAACTGGCCTGAAGTTGTTCAAGTTTTTTTTGGGTCAAGGGAGGGTTTCTTGAGAAGTGGTCTCCCCACCACCTCTTGAAGACAGCATGGGACCACTCCCTCTAATAAAGAGGCATTGATGACCTCCCTGGCCTAGTCAGTTATCCCTTACTTACTGGCTTTTCTAAGGGGAAAGGATCCAGTACAGAGGTGGTTGCACGAACCTGCCCAAGCACCTTGTCCACATCCTCCAGCTGTACCTACTGAAACTCATCCAATAAACACCATCAGACTGTGCTCTGAATAGCTCCACTGATTCAGCTACTATAAGTCTGAAGTCCAAGGCCTGGAAGATGCAACAGAGTTTTTTCCTGGAAGTGCCTAATGAGTAGGTTACAGTGAGTCAGAGAAGGTTCCAAGGTGTCCCTGGGGCCCGAGTATAATAAGTCCCGGACAACCTTGAAAAGCCCTTCTGGGTGGCAAAGAGAGGATTAAATAGAGGCAGTTTTAAATTTTAAATGTAAAGCTTACCATATGAGCAACTCTATTATTCAAAATGCTCCATGTAAATATGTGTCATGTAGTTACAGGCTGAACAATATATAGGATATATTAACAGCTGTTTTTACTTTTCTGTTAGCAGGACATCAAGCAGCCATTCAGTTTTGGATACCAGTCACTATGTGGAAAAATTCTGTCTTCTGCCTTTTGGTTTTGGCCACTGCTACAAACTATGTAGTGTATGGACAAAACAGAAGAAAAGGACAAAGGCCAAGTTCTCTAGCAAGAAAGGACAATTCTCAGGGTAAAGATTTTTCCTACAGTTTGCTATAAGCTGCATAAATAATTCCACATCTACTGGAATTATCTCCAAGGGGAAGTGACACATTCATATATAAGTATCTTTTTATCCTTGGTAACAGTAAATCCTGGATTCTATGGGGTAGCATATTTTCCATCAATACTGGACTACAAGGGACATTATTATTCTCTTCTAAATGTGCATCTCTTCACACACAAAAAGACTCAACAGACATTTTATGGTACTACTGGAAAATGCATAGGACACAACCACATTTTCAAAATGGCTTGGAAGATATCCAGAGTGTTGTATAACTAGAAATTTGTTTATCCTGTTTTTAATCCACCCTGCAACAGAGCATCTCTGGGTGGATCACAGCTGAAAGTATAAGATAAAATACCAAACAACAAACAGCACAGGAATTAATCTAAAATATATAAAAACTAAACTCTGCAATCTATGATGCAACTGCACTTAGAACATTGGCAGAGTTCTGGTCACTGCATCTAAAATGGGGATATTACAGAGTTGGCAAAAGTACAGAAAGGGGCAACTAAAATGATGAAGGGGTTGGAGAAACTCCCTAATGAGGAAAGAATATAGCAGCTGAGATGGTTTAACTTTGAAAAAAGGCAAGTAAGGAGATGAGGTGTACAGAGCTATGCATGAAGTTAAGGGAACAGAGACATTTATCTTTTTCTCCCATAACATTAGAACTGGGATCTTCCAAAGCAACAGGTTGGTGGAGATATAGTACAGATTTTTTTAAAAAAATCCTTCTTTACACAGCATAGCTAAACATTGGAATCCACTTCCCTGAGATGCAGTGATGGCCACAAATTTGGATTGTTTTAACAAGAGATTGGACAAATGTATGCAGGAGAAGGGTATCAATGGCCACTTGTCCTGATGGATATATGTTACCTTAAGGATCAGAGGCAGTGAGCCTATGTACATTAGTTGCTGGATAATTTGGTCAGGAGGCTGCTGTTGCTGAATTTATATTCTTCTTGTTGGATCCTGTGGGCAGCTAGTTGGCTACTGTGTGAAGAGAATGCTGGGCTAGATGGACCCTTGGTCTGATCCAGAATGTTGGTTCTTATGCTCTTAAAATACCTAGAATAAAAGAAAGATTTTCTCCTGGCACTGAAAGACTAACAGTGGAGACATGAAATGAGCCTCTGAGAGGGAAGCATTCCATAAATTGAGTGCCATAGCTGAGAAGGCCCTCTTGCAGCTACCATGCAGGTACCTGACTGAAGGTTTTCAAAGATGACCTGTGGTCCATATGAGCAAAGTTCCTTTAGACACTCTGCTCTAAAGCCATTTAGGTGCTTAAAAGTCAACACCAATGTTTACAATTGAACTCAGAACTGGACCAGAAGCTAGTGTAGCTGATGAAGCACTGGCATTATGTGCTTACATCAAGCAATCCAAGTTGGCAGCACTGTAGCTCTCTTTTCAAAATGTTTCTCTTATCTAAGGTTCCCAAGCCAGAGTGCTGATTATATAAGGTACAATGGACTGTTTATTTTTCTGTGAATTAGAATAATCAAGGAAGTGTAATAACCCAGGCTTGGAAAAGGAAGGTTCTGCTTGCTGGTGTATCTTTTCTAAGGATATTGTCATCTAACCATGGCTTTTGCCACAGTGATGTCTTCCTACAACAAGTTAAGGCCACTGGAGCATCATTGCCCATCATCTAACATCCCAGAATCACTGACTTATGTTACACAGCTCTTAGCAGAACCTCCTAATGCTAAGAGCTGTTCAATGGTGGAACATACTGATTTGAGAAGTTACTGGTCCTACTTTGTTGAAGGCATTTAAGCATAAGTTTGGGGGCCATCTGTCAGGGATGCTGTAGTTGTGCCTGCATTATAACTCCTTAGTTGAGTAAGGTTTTGGATTAGATTAACATTCTCCAACCTGATGCTGTCCAGCTGCTGACATCCCCAAACAGTGTCCATGCTGGCTGGTAAGGATGGGGTTGATATCCAGAACAGCTGTGGAGCAGCTGGTTGGGGAAGGCAAGACTAAGTGAACTTCAAGATCTCTCTCAGCTTAAACATTCTAGAAGGTAAAAAGCTGCACATGGAGAAACTACGCTAATGACATTTTCAGTGACAGAATAGTCAGCATTGAACCATATTCAGAAAGCAGGAACAAATTTTTCCACAGGACAGCTTTGATCATCATCTTGGCGTCTTTTTAAAGACAATGTGTTCAGCCCAATTGGTGACAGTGTGATGTCGGAGCTCTACAAACTATCACGCAGCTAGTGGCTACAGTGAACTTGGCCCTCTATATTGCATGGCGCCTGATGGTGTGGATGTTCAGTTCACATGATTCTTCCTTCTCTAAAAGCTGAGGAAGAGTACATGAGCCAGACCTGACTGCAGTCCTGATACTCATTCATCTAATCAGCCATAATTACACACAGGACTAGCTGCATGATGGAGGGGAAAGAGTTTTTGCTGCTCCCTCACCATGCTGCTTCAGCACCTGTCTGCATACATGAACTGAAGAATATCCACTCTACAGCCTATTGCTGCACAGACACCCATGTGACGTGTCTGTGCTTGTTTATAAAAGGACTGAAAAGTATAGAAGATACACACACACATCATGTCCTGAATGGCTTTTTTGACCCTACTTCCACCTCATTGCCTTTACTTGGTAGGCCATACTGGTTATCCAAGTATACAACTGAATTCTCTAGCTTCTTCTGAACAAATCTGTCATCCATTGAATTCAAAGCTGGGGAAGGAAGTACAGGCATAGAGGGAGTGGATAGGGACAACATTTGCATACACTATTGGTTTTTTTTTTTCAAGTGGAGCTTCTGCCACTCTATTTAAAGTATGTCAAATCATGTTTACAAGGGTGCCTATTTACCAGGGCAATCCCTATTATCTAGAACCAGCCCCAGGTAAAACCATCCTGCTATTTTTGCCTTCTAAGGGATGCCTTGTTTTGTTTTGATGGTGTGACCTGCTTGGTGGTCTTGGCTTAGCTATCTTTCCAAACCTGAGAGCTTAAGTCTAAGATTTATCTTGTCTCCAATGCACACATACATCTAATCATACACACATACACATGGGTACACAGCAAGAACTAAAGTACCATGTGGTGCACAACTTGCCATCTCCCATGCTGGGGAGGCTCCTGGTGAATCTCTGATGACTGGTGGAAAGATTACTGGGTCTTCTTCATTTATTTTGAATGTAAAAAATAGACATCTTAGTATACCAAAAAGAGTTGGAGAGATTATTGCTGGTTTCCTCAACCTGGTGCCCTCTGGGCTACAGCCCCCACCTCAGTGGATGTATTGGGTGAGGATGATGGGGTTATCGTCAAGCATATTTGGAGGACACCAAAAGCTGGTGGGGGAAGCTTGGTCTCTTGCAATGTACATGAAAGCAGGATACAGAAGACAGCTTTAAGCCTTGTGTTGGGTGCAAACTGCCTTCATTACCCTATTGATATCTGCAAAATGTTGCAATGTATATCTTATTAGAGCCCAGCAACCCCATGTGAAATGGACAATTCCAATAACTATTATGTGAATATATTTCAGTCACCTTATTATGGATGAATGATAATAGGTTGAATCCATTAATTTCAATGGCCTGTTCTGACTGGGTCTAGAACCAACCAGTGTGAACAGCATGCAGATTTGCCTTATCAATTCCTATTATCTGTTCTTATTGAATGTTACTCTGCATTTTTAATCTTTCATTTTATCCTGAGTTACTTTGACCACCTTTTAGATAATCTCTGCACAATTTTGTCCTGTACAGATTCGGTCTGCTTCATCGATATCATCTTTATCCTGGACAGTTCAGAAAGTGCTAAAGATGTGCTGTTTGATAAGCAGAAAGAGTTTGTCACCACTCTGAGTGATAAAGTTTTCATCATGAAACCCACCAGGGCCCTCCGGTATGATATCAGATTGGCCATCATGCAGTTCAGCAGTACAGTTAGAATTGACCATCCTTTTTCAGCCTGGCGAAACCTGCAGAACTTTAAGCAGAGTGTTAATGAAATGGTCTACATTGGGCACGGCACCTATTCCTATTATGCTATCACCAATGCTACCCAGCTGTTGAAAGCAGAAGGCCGCAAAACAGGTGTCAAAGTGGCCGTGTTGATGACAGATGGCGTTGACCATCCCAAGAGTCCAGATGTACAGGAGGCAACTAGAGCAGCCAGAGCTCTCGGAATAGCTTTCATTACTATTGGCCTTTCTAGCATTGCCCATAAACCCAAACTACTTTCAATATCTGGGGAGTCACCTGGGAAGCCTGTTCTTATTTTGAATGATCCCAGCCTTTCCGACAAAATACGAAACCAGTTGGTAAGCAATATTTTAAAAGTTACATTTCTTAATTGTAATATCTAGACAGAAAAACCAAAGTTCACAGATATTTTAAGTGGGACAAGGGGAGGAAAAGGGTTATCTTTCATTTGTGTATGTTTTTGATTGAAAGTCATGTATTTCACAACCTTTATAAAAATATAAGATTAGGTTAGAATTGATTAGATTGATAGATAGATTATAAGATTTGATAGTTTTAATAAAGATTTAACCTTAATTAAAATATAATATAGCCTGTTCTCACCTCCCTTCTATTTGGGGATGGCTGGTAGAGAGGGGAGGAGTAACGTACCACAAAGAGACTTTTGAAGGCCTTTGTGGGTGCCAATGGATGGTTTAAAAAATAGCTATTACAGGGGTTGAGAGGGATATTCTCAGGAGGGGAAAGTGTACTTTATGTATATGTGGGGAGTGGGGTCTGGGCAATCTTGTTGCTGGTAGGGAGACAGATGCCAAAGTGAGAGCCTGACAATGTGTTTGCTTGGAACCATTTCTGCCTTTGGGTCAAAAGAGGTTCGACTCCTGAAGATCATTTATTTATGGAGGTGGGGGCAGGGTCAATCAAAGCTGTCAGGATGTGATGAACCTTACCTACTTTTCAGGCACATTGTTTCATCATCTTATTTCACTTGCAAGTAATAAAGATACACACATTTGCATTCAATAGTGCCAATGTAAGCTCATTGTACACACCTCTCAATTTAAAACATCTATAGCTATTGACTAATCCAGCTAAAATCTATAGCAGCCTTTCCCTCCTGACTCTCCTGGTGGGACTAAGCCCCCATCCAACCCAGAGTTAGATGGCTGTGTAGTCCCTGCATCTCCTCCAGTTCCAGGAACCTGTAGGACTATGTTCACTGGGCTCTCCTAACATTTACATTCAGCAGAAGCTGAGAATGGGTTCTCAGTCATATGACCAATGCCTATGAGGTTTCCATGGGTTTTCCATGTATAAGACCAAATTCTCACTCATGAAACATATGGAAGGCAGGGGTAGGATCAGTGGGTGTGACCCTGCTGCATTGCATCTTCATGCCTCTCATCAGTGAATGGAGGAAAGGGAGGACATGACTCACTCTATTAGTAGATAGGAAACTTTATCGCTCAAGATGAAATACTGCCATAGGCAGTGCAGAAGACCCATAGTATAGACTCCCATCACTGAGTCCTCACATATGTGGGAAGATCTGTGTTAGACCAGGCACAGGTTCATTCATACATTCTTGTTTATCACATGTGCTTCTCCTTCCTCATATAACAACAGTAAGCTACCCAAGCCATAAATCACCAGAATGCTAACCTTAATATGTGAATGGACCAGTGGCACATGTTTAGTGTACTTAAATGAGATTAGTGGTATGCTGAAATTTGCATGGCTCAGGGTTCTTTCATAGTTACGCACAAATTGAAATAGGGAGGTCCTTAAGGTCCACTGAATAACTTGCAGACATGAGGCGATAGATGGGAGGGTGATCCACAAATACGAAACACCTCCAAAAAGTCCTATCTGTTGGGTCTGCCAATCTAGGAGACTTTGACTGCTTGCCCAGGAGGGGTTTCAAAGGTAGTTCTTAAGGCTTGGGAAGGTTCATGCAGACATAGGTGGTTCTTTGGGTGTCCTGGTCACTAGTTTAGTGCTCTAAAGATCAAGAGCCATATTCCCTGTTATCACAAGGCTGTACAAAACTGAGGTAAGAATAGTTTTGGCCTTCACAATGGCCTCCTTTAGCTATTGATTGTTATTATATTACATTGCTTTATTCATGGTTCATGCTTCAGTGTTTTGATATACACCACTTTGTGAGATTTGCCTGAAAAGTGATACATAAAGACCTTAACTTGAATTGTTTTTAAAATGTAAAATATTGTTAATACAGTGTAGGGGCAGGTAGTATGGTGGTTGTGAGCACCAACCTGCACTGGACAGCAACCACGGTGCCATACACATTTTCTCACTTCAACTCAAAGCAAGGACCTGCCACCATCGCCATTTTCATTCTCATGAATACCCTTGGAGTCAGAAATAGGACATGGAGAGGGCAAATGGCTGCCGGACAGTGCTTCTCTCTGCAGGATACCCTGCCACCAAAGCAAAGGGTTGGGGAGAAAAAGTGTTTCCTGTTGCTTCTGTCTGGTAAGCTGGGCCCGGGGCAAGGGTAGGCGGTAAAGAAAACGTAAAGGGCAAGGGAGAGTGGGGAAGTCTAAGAAGAATAAAGGTAAGCCAGCTGAAAAGTGTCAGGTCAAAGGAACTGTTTTGTGTGTTGGGGCTCAGACCCACCTCTACCTTGTACTCATTTTTCTGGTTGGGTTAATTGTCCTTGGCCATGTCTTGGACGGCATCCATTTTGTGGCAATGTCCAGGACAGTTTCTCAAATGGCTAAAAGTAGCCACAGGCCTTTGCCCAGTTTATTCCTGATCAAACTAATCCGTAAGTGAAACGGCACCTTAATGTGTTTCTATGTCTTCTTATTTTCCAGGCAACTTTGTCTGATGAACAGGTAAGTTGAACAAGTTTTGAGTGGGATTGCATTTTGGTACAGTGTTGTGTTGATTGTAATATAACATTGTTCTATACAATAATATCCTGCTTATAGGAAAAACTAAAAAGGACCTGTGCTCCTATACACCAGATTACATGATCTCACACACAGCAGTGCAAACATAGGATTTGCTCCTTCTCAAGCAAAAGTCACCTGGATGTTTTTAAGATAAACCAGAACCAGCACAAACATTATTCCTGAAAATCCCAGACAGATGCAAGGTCTAAAGGGCATGGCTAAGCTTAGGCAGCACAACCATCCACACTTAAAGGTTGAGTGTGAGTTGAGCTAGGTATGTTGAATTCTGGGTTATTATTGAAATCTGGATTATATTGTCTGTGCCCAGCCAAGACAACAAACCAGGGTGAATAATCCACAGTTCATAATCCAATAACAAACCATGGATTCAGACAGCATGATTACCCACAGTGACTACACTCAAACAATACTCAATCCTTGATTTGGACTTATCACATTGCCTGAACCCAGTCCAGTAGTGTTGCCCTTCAAGGTACTGCTCTGGCCCTGTGGCTACAAATGCATATGCAGGGTCAGGAGAAAGGAATTTTTCCCAAAGGAAAAGACCAAGAAAGGCAGGAAGAGGAAAAGAACACAAGAAAGGACCCGCTGGGACACTGCTGGCCTGCGGGCCCACCACCACCACCTTGCCGGCGAGTGCTCCGCGGGCCCTGTTCCTGCCCTCCCCCCCCCCCCCGGTGTGGGTGAGAGCTGCACCGCTCAGGAGGCAGGGTGTGGAGGAGGAGCCGCGGGCTTTAACTTGCCAGCCGGGACCAGGGCCAGCGGCCAAAGGGCGTCGGCCTAAGGGTGGTGATGCCATTTGGGGCCATGCAGGGGCTGGGCTGGCCCGGAACTCTATGGGTCGGCTTTCTTAATTTGCTGTCGGGGGGTGACAAGGTTTTATTGCTTTTAATTGTTTTATCTGTTTTATTCTGTCTGTTTTTAATGGATTCACACTTGGCTGCTTCTATGGGGTTGCCTGGGGAGCGCATGGGCGCCGCCATTGGGGTGGTTATGGGCAATGGGCATTATGGCGTTGGGGGTTTAACAGGTCCTCATAGAAGAAGGAGGGACAGATGGTTGACACCTGTCCCCCTTCTGGTTATTCCCCCAGCCGGAAGGTTCTGGGTATGCTTATCAACCACCCCTCGGCCTGACAGTGCTGTTACTTAATGTCAGATCAGTCCATAATAAAACATCCCTCATCCACGATTTAATTGTGGATGAGGGGGCCGACCTGGCTTACATCACAGAGATCTGGGCGGGAGTGGGGGGACGTATCCCTCTCTCAATTGTGCCCGCCCGGGTTTCTGGTGCAGCATTGGCCATGCCCGGGGGGGAGGGGAGAGGGGGTCGCTTTAGTTCATCAAGCCTCTCGTTCCCTTGCGGGGCTTCCTGTCCTCTCGAGACCAGGTCTAGAGTGCCTCTACTTGGTGTTGGGCGACCGAGACAGATTAGGGATTCTGTTGGTGTACCGTGCACCCTTCTGCCCAACAGACTTCCTGCCTGAGCTGACGGAGATCGTCTCGGACCTGGTGTTGAAGACTCCCAGGATGCTGGTCCTGGGGGACTTCAATCTCCATGCTGAGACTGATCTGACCGGGGCAGCTCAGGACTTCATGGCCTCCATGATGGCCATGGGACTGTCTCAACATGCCATTGGCCCGACCCATGAATGTGGACACACTCTGGACCTGGTTTTCTCGATGGGACAGGAAGAGAGTGATCTGAGAGTGAGGAATTTGTGTCTGACTCTCCTGTCATGGTCAGACCACTTCCTCGTGAGGTTTGAGCTCGATGGTGGCTTTTCCCTCTGTAAGGGTGCGGACCCGATTGTGTGGGTCTGCCCTCGGAGCCGGATGGATCTGGATGGATTCCTGAAAGCTCTGGGGGAGTTTCCAGTTTACAAAGCTGGCGCTCCTGTTGATGCTCTGGTCGAACTGTGGAATGGGGAAGTGACCAGAGCTATTGACATGATCGCTCCTAAGCGTCCTCTCCCACCAGGCAGAGCCCGTTCATCCCCTTGGTATACACCTGAATTATGGGCGATGAAGCTGGTTGGGAGACGACTAGAACGTAGGTGGAGAAAATCTCGGGATGAATCTGACCGACCACACTTAAGAGCCCATTATCGGGCCTACGCTGTGGCAGTGAGGGTGGCGAAGAAGAAATTATTCTCCACTTCCATTGCCTCCTCACAGTGTCATCCAGCAGAACTTTTTCGGGTTGTACAGGGGCTGGTACAGCCAGGCCCCAAGAAAGATCCTGTACCACCCTCGATAACCCGCTGTGACAACTTTGCCCAGCACTTCAAGGAGAAAGTCGCTTAGATTTGTCACGAGCTGGACTCCACTAGTGACTCAGATTCCTTAGGAGAGGTGCCAATGTTACCATCTGGTCACACATTGTTGGATGAGTTTCAGTTATTGCGGCCTGATGATGTGGACAAGGTGCTTGGACAAGTATGTACCACCACCTGTGTACTGGACCCCTGCCCATCGTGGCTACTATCCAAAGCTAAACACAGGATTGGTTCCTGGATCCGGGGGGTCATCAATTCCTCTTTGAAGGACGGCTGGGTGCCTGCCCTTCTAAAGGAGGCGGTGGTCAGGCCAGTCCTAAAGAAGGCGTCCCTGGATCCAGAGATGGCCGCCAATTATAGACCAGTGGCCAACATCCCGTTTTTGGGCAAGGTGCTGGAGCGGGTGGTGGCGGGACAACTCCAAGCTCTCTTGGATGAGACTGATTATCTGGACCCATTTCAGTCTGGCTTCAGACCCGGGTACGGTACTGAATCTGCCTTGGTCGCCCTGTATGATGACCTATGCGGGGAGAGAGACAGGGGAAGTGCGTCCTTGTTGGTTCTCCTGGACCTCTCAGCGGCTTTCGATACCATCAACCATGGTATCCTTTTGGATAGGCTAAGGGGGCTGGGAGTAGGAGGCACTGCTTGGCAGTAGTTCCGCTCCTACCTCGACGGCCAATTCCAGAAGGTGGTGCTGGGGGACTGAGGCTCTGCACCATGGCAGTTATGCCATGGAGTTCCGCAGGGGTATAATTCTGTCCCCCTTGCTCTTCAACATCTACATGAAACCACTGGGAGAGGTAATTAGGAGGTGTGGGCTGCGGAATCATCAGTACGCTGATGATACCCAGCTCTACCTCTCTTTTTCAACCAATCCAGGTGAGGCAGTGGCTGTACTGAACTGGTGCCTGGCCAAGGTAATGGGCTGGATGAGGGCCAATAAACTGAAGCTCAATCCAGACAAGATGGAGGTCCTGCTGGTAGGTGGTTCGAACTCCTGGGTAGGTGACTTGCATCTTGTCCTGAATGGGGTTGCACTCCCTCTAAAGGACAGGGTCCGCAGCTTGGGAGTGCTCCTCAACCCGGAGCTGACTTTGGAAGCTCAAGTGTTGGCGGTGGCAAGGAGCGCTTTCCATCAGCTTCGGCTGATCCATCAGCTGCATCCCTACCTAGAGGACGACTGCCTAGCGACAGTGACGCATGCATTGGTTACTTCCCGGTTGGATTTCTGTAATGTGCTCTATGTGGGGCTGCCCTTGAAGACAGTCTGGATACTTCAGAAGGTGCAAAATAGAGCAGCCAGGTTGCTGACGGGGACTGGGCATTATTCTCATATAACCCCAGTCCTCTACCAGCTTCACTGGCTTTCCATCGAAGTCTGGGCTCAATTCAAGGTGTTGGTAATTACTTATAAAGCCCTTAATGGCTTGGGACCCGGATACCTGAAGGAATGCCTGTGGCCATTTTTGCCCTCCCACCCCTTGAGATTGGCAGCAGGGGCTGTCCTCTGGGAGCCTTCCATAAGAGATATCAGGAAGCAAAGTACCCAGAGGAGGGATTTCTCTGCGGTGGCGCCCCATCTGTGGAATGCGCTCCCCAGAGAGGTCTGCCTGGCGCCGTCGTTATCTGGCTTTCAGCGCCAGGCCAAGACCTTTTTATTCAAACAGTATTTTAATAATCTTTAATATTTATAGTTTTAATTATACAGCCAGTGTGTTTCCAAGTTTTAATTGTAATTGTAATTCTATTTGTTTTATTTATTTGTTGTTGTGAGCCGTCCCGAGGCTATGTAGCAATGGGGACAGCATATAAAAACTTTAAATAAATAGCCATGCTGGAAAGGCCTGTCCAGCCTGCCCTCTGTAGCCAACCAGGTCCCATGAGAAGCCCAGAAGCAGGACATGATTGCACCCTCTGGTTGTGGCTCCCCAGTGACTGGCAGGCAGAGGACTACTGCCCCGGATACTGATGGGAGCAAAACCATCATGGCTGGCAGCCATAGGCAGCCTTGGATGTTAGAGGGAAGGACACAGAACAGAGTTTTGTTGCATCAAGGAGTTAGGCCTCCTTCAGATGTGACAAATCCATGCATAGAGAGAACTTTTGGGCTGAGCTACATACACTTACACAAATGCAGGGTGGCTGATACATGGCTTATTATCCACCCTGTGTGTGTGCTAGTTGTGGACTTACAGAATTACCTTCACTGGAGCAGCTTGTGATGTCCAAATCCAGCAAGGCTAGTTGGCAGGGTAATTGACAACCCCTCACCAACACAAAGACAGGTCATGGGTTCTGGTAGCTTGTTAACCACTTGAACATTGTGGCAAACCATGCCAGGAAGGATCATTGTGTCAATCTGGTGGCCAGATGAGTGCATGCAGGGCGAATAAAAACCCAGCACTATTTGCTCACCTTTCTGAGATCATACAGAGGGCAACACTATCTCATGTAGTATCTTGCTGATCATTTAGTACAAGCACCTGAGACTGCAATCCAGAGTGGGACCACTATGCATTGGTAATGGGGATTGCGTAGGACTGTATTCTACATTATGGATTCCACTCAACTGTTTCTGTCCTTCAAAGTCAAGCCCACCTCTGCTAAGTCAGTACACCAAGCAAGCAAGCAAGGTCCACTGACTCCAGTGGAGGTTTCTTTCTTTTTTACCTCTAATCCTTTCATGACACCCCAAATCAGCTGCTTCACCCTCAAGCCAGATGGTTATAAGTTATTTTTGTTTCTGCAGGGTGGCTTTTCAAATAAATATATTCCAGCATGTATTTTTTTGAAGTAGAGTGTTCATTATTTTAATTTGTTTTTGATGTATTCTCTGCAAGCTGCTTTGGGTACTAATTGCAGTCATCAGCATTAAGAATATATGGTAAAAGGTTCTCATTTATTCATGAAGACCTGTTTCCTTGTTGATTTCAAATATGCTAATGTCAAATTGTCTCCTAAGTTTGAAATGTGACATTCTCTGTTGTCGATGTTTCTGTTTCACCTCTAGTGTGGAAAGAGCTGTGAATGTCAAAAGGGGGACCAAGGAACTCCCGGGCCACCTGTGAGTATTTGAGATGGGAGAAAAGCCACCACACTCTTCGCTTATTGTTCAGAACAGCAAAGCCACACACCAAAAGTGTAAAGGGAATATGCTAATATTCTTAATATGCTAGAAAGGAACAGGAGGAATTGTTCAGTCAGGAAAGAATGAAAAGTGCTCGGTCTATGCCATGACAGGGAGAGAAAATGAAAGTAAATAAAATTTTGTGCAAAGGGCAAGGTCACAGGAACCAATGGCCCAGACCTGAATGCCTCAGGGTTGCATGAGGCCATTGATGGGCTTGTGATGGATGTATAGATGGCAGTCCAACTAAAGTAATCCCCATTAAAAACAATGGGACAAATTAGTCAAATCCAGTTTAACTGCTCTTGCTTTCAGTGAGACAACTGCTATATTATGCCCACTTACCTTGGCTTAAGCTTTGCCAAACTCAAAGGGACTTATCTGTGAGCAAGTAATGATCAGGCTTGGACTCTTGGAGCCCTATTCTGTGCAGACTCAGGGAGAAAAGATCCAACAACTTTTTCTGGATGGCAGGGGGTGGTGGGACCATAAGAACTGTGCTGGTTCAGACTAAAAGGCCTATCCAGTCGAGCATTTTTCTGTTCCTGCAGTAGCAAACAGAAACCTACAAGCAGGATGTAAGCATTCTACCATCTGCCTGCTCATGTTATTCTGACACTGGTATTCGGAGGTCTATCTGTTAATAAATAGAATCTGTTAATAATAAATTTCTTTCTCTCTTTTCTCCCTCAAGGGTGATCATGGTAGTAGAGGAGACAAAGGTGAACGAGGATCTAAGGGAGAAAAGGTATATTAGAATCAATATATTAATTGTATATACACACACATATATACACAAGTTTATATATGTGTGTGTGCATGTAAATCCAGGGTATATATAGAGGGGAGAGATAGATAAAGGAAGTTTAAGTCAAACAGTTCGACAGCCTGCTAAAGTTTCCATTAAACATACAGAATGTGATTAGAATTTTTTCCTAGCTTTGTAGGAACATTTAATCCTTCCTGGCAATCACAATGTTTCTCCTAAACTGTCCACCTTTAGTGCCATTTTTTCTTAGTAGAAAGGCAGGTTATAAATCAAATAAAGCAGGAAAATAATTCCATGTTAATCTCCATAATCTTCCAAGGCTTCTTGTGGGATGTAGGCATGTTTTGTATGGTTTGAATTGAATTCAGTCTGGAATTGAAATGCCTGGCACTCCATCTTATGTGATTGATTGCATTTCTATATCTACATCCAGGGTTTTGTGGGGCACTGGGCAGCACAGTCTCAATCGACCCTTTCCCTTAGTGCAGTGGAGGACACTAACCCTCACCTCTGGCTTGCAAGCCTGATCTGGCCCACGCTGAGAGCCATTCTGATCCACTGAAGGTTGAGCACTTTTCTGATCTCCAACCAAAGATGAAAAATAAGCCAGGGTTTCCCCACATCATTCAATTGCAGCTTGTAGGGCAGGGAGATTGACATGAGGGAGCCAGAGCTTTTGGGTGGATCCCCACCCTTTTGAGATCATCCGGTCTACTAATTTAGTCCAGAAGTGGTGGGCTTCCTCTGCCTTAGTGAGTTTCCCTCCTCGTCATTATTGTCACCAGCTTTCTCATTTCTACCACTTGCTAGCTGTATAAGCAGAGATCCCTAGCATGCAAATAGACAGTGGTACCTACCTCCTCGCTTCCACTGTCATATTGGCTGGAGTAAAAGGCAAGTGAACAAGTAACCTGTAAATCCAGGGAAGTTCTTGTCAATGAGCTCCTGCTTGGATGTGGGTTCTTGGCAGGAACCTGACCAGGCCTACCCTTGGTGTTGGCCCTGTTTATGTCAACTTCTGAATGCTTAAAAAAATTCTCGAAGCTCACATTTTTCTTCCAGTTTACATTCTCACTGATCCTGTTATGATTCCTAGGTATGGTTTACCAATCAGATTTGCATCTCATTTGGACCACTTCCTGCTAGCAATCTATGTTGTGGATGATGCATGCTAAGGAACTGTTTCCCACTCACCTTTACCTTAGGTCTACTGGCTGCCTTAGGACCTTCAGTTCTTTTTTTCACATGATCCTAGATAGAAGCCAATTTCTGTCACTTCTGTGCTTTTGGGTGTTTGCAGATAAAACTTTTATTGCATCATCACCAGCCTCATTCACAGAATTTCACTGGGGCTCCAGATGACATCACCATCCACTTGTAACCCTCCCCTGTTCACCTGCTATCTTTTCTGTCTTTTTTCTTACCACAGACTAATTGCACCAATACCTCCAGAATCCTAATTCATAGTCCTTTTCTTATCCATTGCTTGAGTTCTGTTAGAATCAGGCCCAGCAATTTTCTGAAGCACATTGAGAAGTTATAAATCATAGAGGAAAGATTCAATAACAAACAAAATTGATTTATGATTTGCAGGGGAAGGTTGTAAAGCATCTTTTTGAGCAGAAATTTCATATCAGAGGATAAAATGGCATGTGTATGTGTGCATATGTATGTTTCAGATTCTCTTCTGGAAATATGCTACTTACACACTCCTTATAGGGCCTGGCTTTGGATCCTTGCCAATCTTTTTACAATAAGACCTTTCTCAAAGCTGTGCACTCTACTTGGATAAATGTAGTATACTTGACAATAATGTTCCCAAAGAGGGAATACAAATTTTCATTGGTTTCTACCTTTGCTTCTAGGGTGAGGCTAACAAAGGAGAGCCTGGAGAAAAAGGTGCAGAGGTATGTAGAGGATCATCATTATCAACTAGCTAAAAGACAATGAGTAAAAACAACAACAACAACACCCAGTCTTTTTGGTTTCTTCAAAATGTTGCTCTTCAAACTGTCTTCTCTGACAGTCCTGCCTCTCTTGATACCGCCTCTTGAGAGATGTGGTTTGATGTCATGGTGGGGCTTTGCAAACTGGACTGTCATTGCTTCTTTAGCTATTGTAGCTCTAACATCTTGTGGCAGAACAATAGAAATAGTAGACAATACTCAGTTGCTTTGCCCAAACACAAGAAACGTTGGAGTTCCGTATGGTGAAGTGGTTAGAGTACTGGATTGGATCCAGAGAGACTCAGGTCCAGATCCTCGTTCAGCTATGAAGCACCTTGGGTGATCTTGGGCTAGTCATTGGCTCCCTTCCTAACCCTCTTCACAGGGCTATTTTGAAGATATGGAGTGGAAGAACCATGTGTACTACTCTGAAGTCTGTGCAGGAAAGATGAGATATAAATGTGATGTATGAGTAGTAATTATAAAATATGAGTTCCATAATAAGTATGCATTGACTCAAATGGTATTGGAAATTATGCATCCTCAAAGAATGACTGAAAAACTTACTAACTATGGACCTTTTCATTAAAAGGAGCAGATGCTTATGTTTGTGATATATGACCAATATATTTTTATCCTATCGAAGTATAATCTAAATGTTCATTGACGCAAGGTGAGATATAAGTAATCAACAAATCTATGCTTGTGTATGTATATCTATATGCTCACAACATCTTGGTTTTAGCCCACATGTGAGGAGAGTAATAGTAACATTTTCCCACTCCATGTGGTTGAATGAAGGGAGCTGATTGGTCCATTCATTACTTTGCATGTGGGTACTGGATCCTCCATTGAAATGAATGAGAACCTTTACAGAGAGCTCTGTGTGCAGATCAAAGATGCACTGGGTTGGACTCAGACCAAGGCATACTTAAGGTAAACCCATTGAAATCCCTGGGGATTAACTGAGTAATGCCCCACTGATGTTACATTGATTCAATAGGTCTACTCTAAATATGTCTAAATCTGGATCAAACCCTCCCTTAGTATAATTTGTTCTTTCAAAAGTTGGTATATCCATCCTGGTAAAAAGTAAATAAATAAATGCATGCTGTGCAAATTAAACAGCATTTGCTTGATACTTAAATTAGCCATGCTAAAATAACTATATATTTTTAAAAAACCTTTCTTTGTCTGGAAAACAGGGAAGCACTGGTTATAAGGGAGATAAGGTAAGATAATTGATAAATAATTTCTTACTGCCACATTAAGCAGTTTATTACATGACATAATTAGAGGTTTAAAGAAGTGATGCAATAAAAGCAGTATCAGTTATGGCTTGTAATTGGAACAGGGTAAAAGGGAAAGTGATAAATTATAAGTACAGCCCATTAAACTTAACAGGTTTGGCAGCTTTTGTACCATAAACTTCTGTTAAGTATGGGGTAGTTGTTAAGTATGGGGTCAGAAGCAATTGGCTTTGCCTAGGTCAAGCATGTTAGGACCAAAAGCAATACCTGACAGTATCAGGTGATGTGGTCTAAGGTTGGGCTGATGGTCCGTTGGAAACAGGAGACGTGAGGCAAGGTAGTCTGTGAGGATATTTGAGCAGTGAGTTGCTCAGAACAAGCAACCAAGCCTGAAGCAGCAGATATATTGTGGCTGCCAAGTCCCTCTGGGGTCCACATCTGATCTGGTTCAATTCATGATCTGGCTGTGCTGATGAGCAGCAGGACTTTTCCAGGCCATCACAAAGGTGATGTTCTGGTATAGCAAAGATCCAGCCAATAACTCCCAATGAAGAACAATAGGTTGTAAAACTTGGAAGAGGAAGCTAGACAAAAGCTTTACTGTCTCTTTCTAAGAAGAACAGATCACCACCAGAAAACTCCTGAATCCACCCAGGTACAGCGAAGTTCAGTGCCACCTAGGAACTGACAAATATGGTAACACCCATCCATTTGTGGTGACCAGATAGAGGCTTTGGGGATGGCCATAGAAGAGCATAAGCTTGTGGCTTCCAGGCAAATGGAGATTCTGATAATGTAGCTCCTGTGCCTTGGAACTTTCAGCATCTCATATCCAGATGATCAAAGTAACAGGATTTACACTTTACATTTTTACATGAAAATAACTAATTTGTAAACCCTAAAAGCATGCCAATTTTATATTTGTAGGGTGAGCGAGGAGAATGTGGAACACCAGGAGTAAAGGGAGACGCAGTAAGTTGAACATACTGGAATTTCTTTGGTGATATATATACCTTGGTAATATGCATACCTTCAAACATACCAATATTTGAGTGTTCAGACATTTTCATTGTTTTCAAGGGGGGTGTGTGTGTGTTTAATGGCCAAAGATAACTGAAATAGTTCTTGCTGAACAAGCTTCTATTGGTATGAACATTCCAGGTACACATAACCATTGACTGTGTAGATCGGAAGGTTAGTTCATCTTTACCTTAAAAGCCTACATACTGTTCCACCAAGAAAATGGATTCAAAAGTCCAATATGGGACATTGTGATTCTCAGTGACTGACGTGGAAATAATACTATTGCTTTGGTCCACTATTGGCTGCTTTGACATTCTGCTCCCTGAGCAGACTTTCCTCTGCCTTTATAAGAATTTCCATACTGGTATGTGAAATGGCCCTCAAAGATGTGTATAGATGGGCATAAAACCTGGATTCAAAATCCAGCAACCTAAAAAACAGAGCATCACAATATAAATATTGGTTAATAACAAGCATCACAATAAAGCCTAAATATTCAGGACAATAATAAGCTAATTAGCTTGCCAAAATGTAAAAACTAAATCTGCTTGTGCAGGCACACACACACATCCACACACTCAGACACACATGCAAGTCCTGTGCGATCATAGACAGAGATAAAATTTTGGCTTGACTTCTATGAGTATTTAATTCCAAAATCCCAAAGCTGCAATAGAAAAATGCACTACCTCTGATTCAGAATTACATTGTACATGATGTATAGAAACACAAAACATTAAATGTTTTATATTGTGTTGTCCATGCTTTGATTTGCTCAAAGAACTTCGGTAATTGGGCATAGACATGTAATAATGAAATGAAATGCATGTGTAGGTTCATATAGGGTGGGAAGCTCTTTTCGGTACAGGGAACCCTTGATTCTTGACACTGGTACATCTGAACAACCTAATAGGACTAAGGTGGCCACATGTTCTACTTAAGAGGAGACTAACTTGTATTTGAAGTCTTCTCTATTTCAGGTATGGCGAGCTGTTCTCACACATCAACTCTCATCAGCCCCAGACAGGACGGCCAATTGTCAGGGATGGTTGGCATAGCTGGGTAATATTTGGAGCCACACTTTCCTGATTCACATTCTATTTAAAAGGCTACCTAGTCCTGGTCAGGTTGAAGGATCAAGAGCCATAAGATGGAAGAGCAGAAGCTTTTGAATTTGCCCACTGTTTCTTCCTGGTTTTTGGCAGTGTGTTTTGGCAGTGTGTTTTATTCTCTTTTCCTTTGGTGATGTGTTAATAGCCACCCTGACTAATAAAGCTAATAAATAGGGGGAAGACTAAGGTATGGATGTGCCAGTGAGGAGATGGTCTCTAGCATTTCAATCAGATGAAGTTTCAAAACCATTTTCTAATGCAGAAATCAACAGTGGAACTGACCAAACCATGGATGACAAGTTAGGGTTAGTTTAGTTCAAAAATGGGTTTAATTTAGAAGATATTACTATATTAATCATATAGTATAAGGTGCAAAGTGAAAATATAAGTCAAAATAAGGCACAATTCCAGTTGACAGTAGCAGAAAACCAAGTAATAATAGAAGATGCTAAGAAGATAGAACCAAATTAGCAGCTGGCAGTTAAAATGGAAAGAAGAAATGGACATAGAAACCTTATGTCAAGCTTCTAGAACTAACAGTAAGAAAAGAACTTTGCCAGACATGCGGGATTTTACTGAAGGCAAGCAAAGAGAAGGCATTGAACATCTGTGAAGGATTAAAAGCCATAATGGATTAAGCACTTGAAGAAACTTCTGTGCAGGCCAAAGTTCGCATCACCCACAGGATTCCCACTTCTAAAAGGAAAGAAAAGGCATTACCAAAAATGAATTGAGATTTTATTGTTGTTACAATTATTACTAAAAATGCAGATCATGCCAGTGGAAAGTGGCCAGCCATGGAGAACACGCAGAGGAAAACTTCAGAAGCACAACGCCAATATTCAGAGCACATTTCCAATCTGAAAGGAAGAGCATTGCAGTATAATTGGCTTTACTGTTGTGTGTCCTGACACAACTTTAGATTTATTAAACAATATTCAGCAATGTTTACTGGTGTTTCCCATTTCTTAGAAGTCTGGGTTTCCCTAAAGGGCAATCAGTGTTGGATACTGCTTTTGTAATAGCTCAAAATACCAATAACTGCCGGCTGTTTGAATTCAGCTTGGATGAGAATCATCCGCACAAGTCTACAGAGAAGAAACTTAAATAAATTTCCATTATTATTTTTGTTCTCATGGTGACAGGACAGACTCCCCTCTCAAGCTGTGTGCTTAATTCAAGATGAAGAGAAGGGAGTTGTGCCCATTCCCAGGATCCAAAAAAAGGGCACTCATTGTGAATATTGAGTTTCAGTCTTCTGTCTCTGCCTTCCTTTAGCCAATAAAATGATTAATTTTAGGAATTAATAAAATATTCTAGCCATCATGGTACTTTTTCTAATTTTCAAAGACTTGATACTCTAAGCTCAAGAAATTATTGAGGTGGGAGAGCAAGCAGTTCTGTATATCTAGATGATAACTGGATAGAAAGCCATTCACTGACTTGTGCAACAAAACAGAAGCATAAATATTGGCGTTCCCTTTTGTGATCACTCTGTTTTTACAGTTTTAATTGTCATAAATCTCCCCAGAAAAATCTTGAAATTTTAATTTCCTATCCTAAATATACTGAGAACATTTTGGTGAAGCTGCCTTTCCTTCTTCATACCCTATTTGCAGGACAATTCTCAAGAACATCTGTCCTGTACAGATTACAAAGGGTCAGTGGAAACATGGTGGAGAATCTTATGGCAGGCCCATTCCTTATGACATATTCAGCCTATCCATGCACCAAATAAAGGACACTTTCTACATGGAATCTGGAACCCTGAAAAAGTCACCAATTGCAGAGGGGAGGACCTATCTGCATGTACTTGTAAAGAAGTTCAGCTGAAGTTGTGGGTACTTGGGCTGGGACTGGCCACCATGCTGTTGCAATCCCTCTCACCCTCCCTGGCCCCAAACCACTTCCCATGATCAGTAGGGTGGCAACTTATACATTGCCACAAAAGAAAGAAAGAAAAGTAGGCCTAAGAAAAGAAGGTCAAAAAAGACTGTGAGTTTGCAAAAACATTTTCCATAAAGCCATTTATGTGTATACATGAGCATCTAGAAATATCTACTTCCACTACAGAAATGCATGCTCCTATGGGGAGGAGGATTGTGAACGTCAAACTCTGCCTTCTGATGATTCTTGATCTTTATTCTTCAAAGAAATGACAGCTTCAGGAGAAGGACTGCTCACCTTCAAGTTGAGGACTATCCTCTGCAGTGAAGGATACGAGGGCCATACTAATTCAATGTATTCATTGTTCATCGTCCAAATGGGTGCCCCATGTTTCGACTTGGAGTGTGATGTGCTCTGTGCAAGATGGGCAGATGGCAAATGTGTGGGATCTATCTGGTTTTACTAGAATTCCAAGGTCCAGGAACTGGAATCTGGTACAAGAAACATATACTTCAAATTAACCAATTCTGAGTCCAGGATTTGTTCTGAGTATTAGATCTGAATGTTCACAGTCCTTCGAGGCAAAGAATCTGTTCCTGGTCGCTACATGCACCAAACCCCATGTTGCAAATTTTGCTCATGACATTAGTGTCATTTAGAATAATGGTGGTAGGAAAAGTACTTTTGTTGTTATTGTTGAACAATAACAACAAAAGAAATCCTTAGTGAACTGCTGAAGATCTGCAGAAATCTCCCTGTGATTCCAGATTTACATCTATCCATCCCTGCAGAATGTTTTCCAGCATTATCATACTAATGACCTTCCCTAAAACTAGTTTCAGTAGAAGTAGAAGAAGCAGAAATTTGTCCTTATGCCTCTACCAACTTGTACCCACAGCAGCTGCGAGAAAGTGGTGAGAAGTGCCTCTTCAGTCAGAATGTGGCATTAATCTTTATATTGTTTATCTGAACAGGGACCAGAAGGCCCTTTTGGCCCAAAGGGACCAAGAGGCCCTCAGGTAAGTTTGATTAACACTACTGATGATTTCTGTGTAATTTGGATTGAAATGTATTGCTTTCCTTAGCCCACTTCTTAGTGTGAAATTATACATTACATATATAGTAACGCATATAGCTTGTAGCTTCTGTTTTCCCTTAATTAATCTGAGGTGTTTGGGAGGTTGTTATCCTGAGTGAAGCATATTGGCAGGGGAGGCCTACTGTTCCCCTTCCCAACAATGATCAGGATGGAAAATTCCCCCACCTTGCATGGCTTTGGGTCTCTGTTCCCTCTCCATATGCTGCAAAGTGGTAAAAGAAACTTCCTATACCTCTGATTAAGGAAAAGGAGATGCAGGGCATGTGATATAGTCTTACCTGAAAAATCTGTGTCTTGGCTGTACCACTTCAGAGTGCAATCGGAGATCATTGGACTTGAATACTCAATCATATGGAAGGAAGGAAGGAAGGAAGGAAGGAAGGAAGGAAGGAAGGAAGGAATCTGCTCTTCCAAGAAAACTAGATATTAAGGAAAAGTGTTTAGCTTCTCCTTGGCATGCTGCTTTCTCTGCAGATATAGATTGTAGATATATGAAGGAGCTTTCAGTCATGTGAGCGGTGTATTCCTGCAGTCCAAGATTATAGCCCAGGCATGCATATCACCTTAATGTCCTGAGCATCAGTTGCTTTGTTTTGTTTTTTGCTCCTGACATTTCCTGCCAGAATTTTAGATAGAATTAAAATAGAGGTGTGAAAGGAATAAAGTCCTATATTTAAGTGAGATATTAGAAATGAATACATCACCAGGGTCAAACAACATGTTCCTAAGAAATGTTTAAAAACTCAGTGTAAAACTTTTGATCATCTAATAACAGAATGGATCTTAGCATGAAAATGGACCTCCTTTATGGAGGTTTAGAAAGTATCTGGAAAGGAACTAGAAAATTGCAGACTCGTCAGCCTAGAATCTGCCCCAAGGAAGTTGTTTGAAAGCATTATTAAATGCTAAGAAAAGGCCACATTTGTAGAAGAACATTTCTTGCTGAAGGCAAATCAGCATGGCTTTACAAATGGAAAATTAGAGATCAGGAACGAAAGTGAAAATAGAACTCCAAGTTTCATAAAGTTATTAGCAATCTATAGCTGTGCTGAGTGAAATTCCTAGTTGGGAACGCGTGTACTCCTGCATGCCTGACAAACGGCAAGTGATGTTGGGTGTATGAGCTGCTTGTGCGCTTCCTTGAGGCATCTGGCTGGCCTCTGCTGGATTCCAGCTGCTGGTCCTTGGTCCAATCCAGCAGGACGCTTATGCCTCAGTAGTAAAAGTAGCATCCGGCCCTTTGTATTCTAGGAACTCCGGCAATGAAGAGTTTTCTGTGGTTCTGTTCTTAAACAGTACAGATGTTTGTCTCTGTCATTCCTTCTGAGTACGCTGAGTTCTGCCATGCGCAAGGGAGCCTACAGTCCATCTCTTGGCCGACAGGCATGCCTCAGTGCTCTGTTCTGCAGCAACAGAGCTTAGCTTGAAGTAGAACTGTGAGAACATTTTTGCCTTCGCAGTGGAATTGCTGACCCTGCCTCCCCTGCCAATTCTTTAGCTTACATGCCTGTACAAAAATGTGTACTGGCACATATTTTGCTGCAATTAGGAGGTATTCCCATGGTCGATACCATATTGCTGCTGCAACAGTTTGCAAAGGGTAGCTGTGTTAGACAGCAAAGCTGACACAGAATCTCGTGGAATCTTAAGGACTTACAAGTTTACAGAATAACGCTGAGTCTTTCAGGTGCCACACTGGACAGGTCTGGTGATATGACAGGAAAATTAAACAGAATAGCCTACACAGTGTCATCTGGGGACTGTTCTCTCTAGCTGCTGCTGCTGCTAATAGTAATACATGTGCATGGCACTTTGCAAAGGCCTTTCCTGCAGGGGTTTTGCAATCAAACGCTAAAGATGAAGGAATCAGCAAAACAGTGGGAGGGAAGCACAAATAGGGGTAAATAGGAGAACAGTGTGCAATTATTTTAGTTATGAGCACTTTGACCTAGCTACAGTAGGGTCTTGGGGCTTGGGCCATCCTTCCCAACCTGTTGCCCTCCAATTGTGTTGGATTACAAGTCCCATCATGCCAGCCAACATGGTTAATGGAATTGATGGGGGTTGTAATGCAACACATCTGGAGGACACCAGGTTGGGGAAAGCTTGCCAAGGATGTAGCCTAAGCTCCATGGAAAAGGTGAGTTTGAAGGAGGGATTTCAAGGTAATGGGATGAGACCTGAGATATGCTGAGAAAAAAGCAACCCAAAGCACAATCCTTTGCACATTTAGACAGAAAACATTGGCTGGGGCATGTTTGGACCTGTAGATTTTTTCTGCATAGAATTGTGCCTTAATCTGATGTATGATCTTCTTTTAAATGCTTCTATACATTTCTCTACAGCCTCAGAAATGTATGGAAGCACTTTTAAAGAAGGTTCTATTATTCTGCTTCTTATTTAGCTTTGGTTTCTTTATTAATCATATGTTTTTGATCCTGCTTATTTTTAATATATTTAATAGAATGTTAATATAAGAATAATATGATCATACAATATGCTAAGAAACTGAATGACATGCACATGCTTTTAAGCCTTATACTAAACTCATTATTTCCCGAGGGACTGTTAGTTCGATTTGGATAAGATTTTTTTTTTTTTTTGTTATGAATGTTTCCTCTGTCTTTATTGTCCTAATTTCAACTCAAATGCTACAGAGCTTTAGGGAAATTATACTGTGGGCTTCTCTGAGTCATTTATTGTGTGCTCATGCAGTTCCTTCTTACCCTTTCGATGTTTTCATCCATAGGGCCGGTCCCATGTTTTATAGCCATTTCTGGACCTTCCTTTATAGCGTGGAAAATCCACTATTAATTTTCAAACTTGGAATAAACCAGAAGGAAAATCTCATATATTGTAATTCTGCTACAGTTCAGCTATTTCATGTTGCTACCTTGCGGTTGGATAATAGAATATGAAGAAAGGCAGATGAAGACAAACCCGTGGAGCGGGAGGGCGTGGAATCAAAAACGGTTTGTGTAAGGGATGCACTCTTCATCCAAAGAAAACAAGAAAAAGCCTCAGTTAAGTAGTGAGTTAAGAACCTCATGCAGAGAAACCCTGCAAAGCAAGTTCCACCAGGGTGAAAGATAAACAACTCTGAATGAAAGACAAGACAAGGAATTCATATGATCCTACAACTATTGTTATTGTAAGGATGCACACGAAAGGATGCAACCTATATTTATAGGTTGGTTTTTGCTGCTGTACTTAACATGTCTGTTGGTAGCACACAACACTCTCGTCTTCCATTTTACAAACAGGGAATGACTGGCCCTCCAGGTGAGCCTGGTCCAAAAGGCATTCAAGGAAATAAGGTAAGGTTCCAGCATAAGACATCATTTTACCGGTGGAACCTGCCACAAGGTATTGCAGCTTGCCGCTCTTGTTCAGGGCTCCAACCAACCAGCGCTGCTCTTTTCCAGATACTCCATTCCATTCTCCATTTGGCTATCTATGGTCTTTGAGCCTGCTCAGTGCTCATCTAGCCATTCTAGGGGGTTTGTCTCCCACAGTAAGGCCTTTTTTCCCCTTGAAAGTGTCTGATTCTAATTCTGGGGGATACGCCTGCATATTCTCGTATTCCCCCAAGTGTGGTGATAACTCCCTCTTGTGTGTGGACGGTGTTATTTTGGGTACCATAAAAATCAGTGCTTAAAGGATAAGTTTGCTCTCTCTCTCTGTGTGTGTGTGTGTGTGTGTAGAGAGAGAGAGACAAAAAGAGAGCGCTTTACTTGTTTGGCTTGTTTTACACTATTTATAGAATTCCAGGAGCATGACTGTGCTTGCAAACATGGTGTACACATGCCACAATTTCTTGCAAAGTTGCCACTTCTTTGCAGGCACCGTGACAGCACATTCAGCACAGAAATTACCATGGGGGATGCCTCTGCTATAGAACAATGAAATGCAATGTTCTGATCACAGAAAGCTGTGTAAGCTCTCAAAGGGGCTTTCACAGCCTTTCCAATTTTCATACTCTTGGGTTTTCTCATGCAGCATTACAAACAGCCTTTGATGTGTGATGAAGTTTCAAATGCAGTTTGTGATGTAAGAAAGGGTGAGTGTGTTGCCATCAAAGGGGGCAACAGGGCTGGGCATATGGTTTTCTGCAGCCTAAACATTTCTAGGTCTTGTTATATCAAATGCATTGAGGTCAAAGGGTTTTCCATAGTCATCAATCACAGGGTCCGTAGCTTAACATCACTGTACTATGCTACTCATCCTATCTGTGCATTGAATAGCTAAATATTTATGAATGTAGGGGCTGATGTTAATGATACTATTTTGCATTTGACTGTCAAATCACAGGAGGCCCAGTGAATGATGCTTCTATTGCACTATATGTGGGTGTTCATTATTTGAAGCATCCTGACCTGGTTTCTGGGGCAACCCGAACATTTGAAGACACACAGGAATGAATTCATATGTGGAAAATATTTGTTGCAGAATCTTGGCCTCACTGATGCCTTTTCTTTGCCTTTATTTATCTCATTTTTTGTTTGCCATTCTTTGTATGAATCTCAGCAGCATGGGTGTGGGGAAAAATGTCAAAACTTCTGTTTCTTCTAAATATAATGGCTTGGGTTCAAATTCTTCTACGAGAGCCATCCCTCGGGGAAGCGAGAGGGGTGGAAAATAGGCAAAGGGCCTTTTCTATTCTTGCCTCCCATCTCTGGAACTCCCTCCATAAGGAAATTTCCCTGGCACTATCTTGCTTTTTGGTGCCAGGCAAAGATGCACCTTTAAAATAAAAATTGATACCTAAGCCCTTTGTACTGATGAACCTTTTTATATTGGTTTTTGTATTGTTTTTAAATGTTATGTTTTTATTCTTTTATTGTTTTTAAATGTTATGTTTTAATTATGTGAGCCACCTAGGGAGGACATTTTGGCCATTATAGGAGGCATATGAATATGTGGATAAATAAATTCAGGCACATGCAATGGAGCAGCTGGAAGTAGGGGACTGCTCCTTGAGACAACCCTCCAGTCCTTCCGAAATGTTACACAGAAGGTCGGGGAACCTTGATGAATGGTGTGTAGGCTGAGAAGGAAAGGGAATATTACGTGGTGGCAATCAGGGGTACCAATTCAGGTCAAAATATATGATTAAACATCACATGTAGTTTCACCTTTTAATTCTGTCCCTAAAAGCTGTACTGAGAAATTGTCCTCCTAGAATGAAGCCATGACCAAAGAGACTTTTCTGAGATAGATAACTGTATCATAAAAGTAAAGAACAGACATATACTTTCAATTAGATGCATGTATCAAATGTGAGTGCAGGGAAAAAGGTACCTGTAACTCAGGACTGATTGTAAGGTATTCATCTTAATCAGTCATTTCTAATTTGCTTAAGTAGGTTTGAAAATCTGGATCATGCTCAACAGTTGCTATAGTTTGTACAATTGGTTCGTTGTGATTGATATACTTGGTTTACAATTCAGGATCAACTCCACATGTCCAAAAGATTGGGTTGACCTCGCCTCTTGGCTCTGAAAATATCACTTGGCTCTGATGTTATGCAATTTGGGAACATGGAACTTTTGTCAGTACCTGCACCTTATTTTGTTTCTCCATTCTGCATTGTAATCTTCATAATCAGCAGGGAGCACAATCCATGGCATAGTGAAGCCAGGGTTCACCAGCTTGAGGCACCAGGTCTTTTCGATTAGGAGGGGCAATGTCTTCATTGGCCACCTCACTTAGCTACCTTGTCCCCACAGAGTATAGCAACATTCTTCATGGCTAGAGAGAAATGAGTTTTCCCAGCAGCAATACCTTGCTAAAAACTTTTCCTGTTGCAATGCAAAGTATGTTGGGGTGGCTTGCTTTTGAATGGGTAATTAAGAGCCATTTCCTTTGCAACCTCCCCCCCCCCCCCGTAAAAGAACAACCATGCACAAGTATAATGCACAATTTACAGAGCCACTTGAATTTTTAGATTCTGTTTTGGGGTGTGGTTTTAAGGACTACAAGTACCATGATGCACCACAGGGTACAGTAATATAACTTAGGATGCAGTCCTATCAGAATGCTCATGGATTCCCAGCTTGGCAGCTCACAAGCGTTCAGCTGCCCTGCTGCTCCCACTCTGCATTTTTTTGAGATGGCTGTTTTTGAACATCTAGCAATAGTATTTCAGATGGGGAGCAAAGGAAACTGAGGTGGCTTCAGGAGACATTGCACTGAGGCATCCCCAGTCTCCTGTTCTGCCCCCACAAATACCCCCTTTCCTAATCTCAGAAAACAGCTGGTGTGGTTCTTTTCTCACCAGCTGTGTGGGGGTACGGGAGCAGAAATCAAGACTCTGAGGTCAAGCCTGTCCCTGCATTTGGAGCAGGGAATCCAAACTATTCCATGACTCCTTAGATAATATCTAGGGGCTTTGGGATAATTCCTTTCATTATTCAGGTTTAAACCTATGATTAAAAAGAGGACTACAAATAATCATAGCCCGAGCCACATTTTTTGCAGACTACTCTGGAGAGCCCTTATAGAATACATCTGTACAGTTTTAATGAATGAATTGGTCAGCTAAGAAGTGAAGCCAGATTTTGTTCTTTCTGTGTTTGTAATGTAAGTTTGGCTCTGAAGCCAGACTCTTTGTGCCTAATACATGTTCGTCCTTAGTAAAGACTTGGCAAGCATTTATTTATATTCATACAACCTCATTGTTTACTCTTGATCTTCAAAACTATACAATGATACAGAAGCCATCTGTTTTAATTAGCAGCTTCCAAAGTGAAGTCTGCATCTCTACACCCTTTAAATTTGAGTGAATGAACTTATGAAGTTACCCAGTAAAATGAATGGCTGTTTACAGCTCAATAAATAGCCATTCAGCTAGTAAATGCCAGTGCCTTTTTCATGTAGGCAGTATGGCAGACAGATACTTAGCAACCTCTCCAAAATTCTGTTATCTTTACAGAAAGATCATTCAGCTACTTTTTTTTTAAAAAAAAAAATCAAGTTTCCAGACACTTAGGAATGAATTCAGAGTCTAGTAGTTATTTATATGGCGAAGTCTCTTTCCAAGTGCATAAATAATAATACTTCTGTTCTCAAGATAATGCCAGTGGAACAATTCAGTTGCTCTGGAAGAGGTTTCAGTTGCTCTGTTGCTGAGGCACAAACATAGAACACAGTTACCACTGCCCCACTCGGGGGAGGGGGAGGTTGAGGGGGGTGCTTCTTTTCTTTTCTTTTCTTTTCTTTTCTTTTCTTTTCTTTTCCTTTTGGTGACTCTGTGAAGACATAAGCTGGTAAAAAAGAGAATTCAATTTTCATGAACCAGAGGCATGTGGACAATCAGACTGTCCTGGAACCATGGTCCAGAAAATTGATATTTTGGGTAAAAATAAATTTGGCTAAGCAATTTCATGTGCAATCCCATGCATGTTTAGACAACAAAAGGTCCTTCAGCTCCCAGCATCCCTTAGCCATCATGGGGATGCTGGGAGTTGTATGAATTTTTTCTATCTAAACATGCATAGAATTATGCCTTTAAATTAGATATTTTTTACTCAGGAGACCAGAAAGTAGGTTGAGCTCAATCATGAGGTACCCCAGTGATTTACAGTGGATCAGCAAAGGTTTCTGATTCCCAACAGCTTGAAGGTAGTAAATAAATAAATAAATAAAGCTGCTTACCCTTCCAAAAGTAGGCTGCTGAAATCAAGGAAGGTTGAAGGAAGGCTGGAAAGAAAGGTCTTTGTGTTTAGAAAGGTTTATGTTGGAACTCAAGTTCTGCTACTGAAAGCACAACCTTTCCTAATTTTAAGTTCACCTTCCCAAAGCACTAGTTTGTACCTGACTCCAGGACCACAAAATTCTCAGGAAAAAGCCCTTCCCTGCTCCATACCACCTGGCAATTTACATCCTAATGTTGAAACACCATATTTGAATGGGTGCTGTACTCAATCTTGGCTTTTTGCCTGCCTGCCTTCCTGCCCATCCATCTGTCCATCTGACCATCTTTCTTTCTGTGTTGCGGTGCAGAGACTAGTAGGAGATCAGCACGTAAAAGGGGAAAGGAAAAAAAAATATTACTTGAGTAATAGGTTTATGGAAAGGTGATTCAGCATGGATTTTACTCTGAATTTTAAGCACGAGTCCATGGTATTGAGCCTACTTTGGGGATAGGTGTCAGCACCATGGATAGCTCCGTTAAAGTTCTGAATGGCTATGTAGCCCTGCTGACATTGGAGTCACCAGCCTCCACTATATGCAGAGGGGAGCTCTGTTCCTGAACGTCATAAAGTTTTGTGGGCACATATCCTGATCTAAAGGGTCCGGTACGTACTGTGGTGCC